TATATGAACTATACGTATTGTCATTTTCATATTTCAAAATGCCAACAGCAGCATTTACATCAGTTTGTTATTACTGGGGCCGATGTTTCTGACGTAGTGCTGAATAATTTTTATGTGGGTTTATGATTTCTGTTATAATCTAGTCAGAACGAAGGAGAAGACTTGCAGTAGCTGTAATCATATTTCCTGGAAGAATCCAAATGAGCTAAGCGTACTCATGGCTATTTCAATCAATATGGGCAATTTGATCAAGCAAACTATCAATCTCTCTAGCTAGACATTGAATGAAGTTCAAACAAGAGAAAAGAAGAATAATTTGAGTGGACTTACTATCAGGGCCACCAAGTTTGGTGACAGCATCAACAAAACGATCATGAAGATCAGCAGTCCATCTAAGTCTTGGCTTTGGGTCTCTTGTCATCATCACCACCCCGTTCTCGTATGGATAACTCCCTCCTTCACCACCAAATGTTGTTTTCTCCATGTATTATATATAATACAACAACCAAAGTTTCCAACTAAAGCTAGCTTTTGTACTTCATGAAACAATCACTGAATGGAGAATACAAGTCTTCAAGCAGGTTTTTTGCTTTTGCACTTCCTAAAATTCTCCTCTGCCAGAACATAAGAAGATCCAGAAGCGAAGAGGGAAGAGATGGCTATGAAGAAAGCATAAAGAGGGCCAAGAGGACTTTTGAATGTTCCTGCAGTAAAGCAATTCCTTGCAAGAGCATGTGACGAAAATTCAACAAGTGTACATAGCAATATAGAACAAAAACATAGAATTCTTGTTTTTATTCAGGCAGGGAATATATATATATATAAAAACTAAACACTTTTTTTTTAACAGGGCATTTAAAAAAAAAAACTAAATAGAAGAGGAATGTATTTACATGGGAAGAAAAAAATAGTATTTATAATATGTGTGTGGACATGCAGAGGAAATGTCGGCGAGGAATCTGAAGTTGCATGATTGATGAAATTTACAATGGGAACAGATTTTGGTGTCGCCATGCTCATGTGTACATCAACATCCCATAATAACTGTCAGATGCATCTTGAGGAAACATCAAGATGATCGACGGTGAAGCGGTCACTGAGACCATGAGAAGTAAGAGATTAGATGCCACGTTGCAGCCATCGTGGAATATTCGCCGGCGGAGAGGATGGAAGGAATATTCGTGGAGTCACATGGGGGGGCCCGTGGGAAGTGTAGGAGGGGACAAAATGGGAGCCATATAATGCATGTTGAAACGACGGTGTTTGACATGTGGGCGGTGGTCCATCTCAAGGAACAGCCAGTGCCGACGGTGAGATCGGGGTGGCTTGAAGCTTCACGAGGGCGAATCAATGACTAATTCCACTCATGAAGACACTCAATCCACACCAGATTAGTTATGATTATAGTAATTGGAATATTTTGTGCAGCTATTTCATGGACGTCTTGGCGTTTATGGTGCGCCTGCCAAGTGTCATGGATCGGGTTCCATATCATACAATTCATACAAGTTTATTTTGATTACTATAGATGTATGGATTATTCAATTGTGCCCCTAAAAACTATAAAGCAAGCCCTCTCAAATATTTATAAATTAAAAGGATTTTAAAAATAATGAATTATTCTTCATGTACTCTACTACATGGCTTGACGAGTTTTTCTTCTTTTTTTTTTTTCCTTTGATGCACATTGAGATCGTGTGTGTGTGTGTGTCACTTAGACTAGAATACCATAATTTAAATATATTTTTATTTTATTTTTTAATATTAAATTTATTAGAGATTAAACTTTATATTTTATTTCTATTTATTTTTTATAAGTGCATTTTTTATCTCATGGCTCGAGTTTTGGGTTTAACAAGTTAACTCAAGTTTTTTTTAACTTTTTTCATTGATTTACTTTTTAATTTCATCGTTTAATTTTTGGTTTATTAGGAACTAAGCTTTATAATTTTTTTAATTTGTTTTTTATGACATTCTTCCAGTTTCATAACTTGAAATGCAAGTTTGTCATACTAATGTAAATTGACTCGGATCATATTTTTATCCTATTTGTAATTGAACTTTTTTCAATGTTATTTTTTAATAATGGATTGATAAAGAATTAAGTTTCATAATTTATTTTGATTTATTTTTTATATGGTTATCAAGATTTCATGATCAGGGTAGCGACTTTAACAAGTTAATCCTTGTCTATCCAATAAATTGCCATATCATGTATTAAAAAAAGATGTCATCTTAAATTTTTTATAGTCAAACTATGTTTTTACTATTTATCTTAATTAGCTTTAAACTTGTCAAGTTAACCAAGTAACAATGAATCAACTTTACATGGTTTAATTTTTTTTCTATTAAAAAATATATAAACAAGATGTATGTTTTTTAAATTTTGAAAAAAATAGCACAACCAAATAATCTAATAAAATACTAAATGGAATATCTTTTTAAGATGCTAACACAAGATGTTAGTGATATACAAATCAATATAATATGGCTTTTCAAAAAAAAATTAATAATCATAGATATTACAAATGAAACTAAAACTCAATAGTGTTTTACTCTAGTTTATACACAGTGATATAAAATAATTGATGAGTTCTTAAATAACCAAAAAAATAAACACATATTTAGAAGTGGAACTGCATTTTCATATATTTATTGCACAATGTAATTGCTCTCATGCCCTTGAAAAAAAACAACAGTACAACTAATATTTGAAAAGTGTTTTTAGACTTTTATATTTTTTGTAAAGTGTACTTACTACGTAGCCTTTGAGGTCAACTTTTTTTGTCTAAGGCTAAGGGATACTTTCAGTTTTTTTACCCCAATTTTCTTACAATTACCTATGGGGATAAGGGTTTGCCGATCTTTCTATGATTCAAAGAACAAGTAGCTGGCAAGAGGGAGGTGTCTTTAGGCAGCCCATGTGGCACCTCCTGATGGCCATTGGTAGCCTTCGGGAGTAGCATCTGAAGCAATACGTCACCCTCTATATGGTGGGGCGGTACATGTCTGCATTCATTGCATGGAGGAGCTCCGATGATAATTTTTCTTCTCCTCCATTTTTTCTCTCTCCTCTACCTCAAAAGGTGTACTAGCTTTTCAAAATTGCAAAATAATCCTCAATCTTTTAATTATATCGAATTTGATTTATTTATTTTTCAATTCCATCCCTTAAAATTTAATTGTTATGTTTTTTATCAAATTTGATTCTTATTTTTATGACTTCTATTTAGTTTGCTTTTAATCTTTTTCTGATTAGATTTTTTAAAATTCAAAATCATCATGGTTTTATCCAACGTGGAACCTCGTATAACTTTGCACACACCTTAATTTTATAGTGCAAAAAGCCTAGTCATTAGTTGTGAAATGGTCATTCCACAGGTCGGATTAAATTTTCTAAATGTAAAAAAAAAAAAATTAAGAGTGCGAAGAACTTTTTGACAGTGTTATTAAATTTGTCAAATAGATCAATCTTGAAACCTCCCGAGACAGCTCTTTGTCTAACTCAAGTTTTCAATTAAACCGCATAGGAGCTAGCTCAAATTAAATCGATCGATTTCATGAGTTCAAATGCAATCTTGATGATTGATAGAAACATGGTTTAGCTTTAAAAAACTTCAAGATGATAACTTTTTTTATAAAAAAAAAATATTGAGACAATGACAAATTAAGTCAATCTCAGTCCTCCCATGACCCGGGTCGTGGACTCTATTGAGTTTAATAACTTTTTTTATGAACTATTTTTATTTAATTATATGATAAAAATATATGCTCACAAAATTGAATACCAACCTAAAAATAAACAGTTATTTAAGAAAATTATAACCCTATAGAAATTAAACAAAAATAAATCATGTATTTTATTTCCCAACTAATCTAATGTTAAATGATAAAATTTTAAAAAAAATAAAGGAAAAAGAAACATATCCAATTAGTAAGTAAACTCATCAAATGTATGAACCTATGATCAATAATATATAACCTTGCCACAGCTGAACTAGTATGAATTTGACTACATGAGTCACTTCATCAACTACGTTTTTATTGGATGTTTTAGATGACAAGACGGTTAGAAATCCATAAGATACAACATGTGTCGCTTGAAGAGTACAGGTAGTGTCAATTTGCTGGCACATGCATAGTATGTGCCAACCATTTTTTATTTTATTTTATTTGTTATAATACTAATTTACTCCAATTTCAAATAAATTATAAAGAAAGACCCATTATAAAAATATCATTATTTAAGGACAATAATGTCATCTAACCAAGAAAAAACAGTGATGGACCATTCTAGCCACGGTCAATTGTATAATGATAAATAGATGCCTTTAAAAATATCATTGTACCTCTAAATATATCCATTTGTTTTTTGGAATGGAGGGCAAAGAAATTATTGCAATTTAGTAATCTACAATGCAATAAATCTACGCACACAGTAAATATATGATATCTTTTAATGCTTTTTTTTTATTTGGTCTTAATGTCATTGATTTCGGGAATTTTAATGTTTTATTTTTAATGTCATTGATTTTGGGACTCCGAGGGATTAGCTTTCTGGTTTGTCCTAGTTTTGGTGAAAGCAGAAATGTCAATGGAAGTGTATAAAAATGGGATATGTGTCTGAATATAAGCCCTTCCAACTTCCCAAACCTCGTTTCCGTTGGAGCTAATTCTCAGTCCTTTATTTACATCGTGTTCATATAATTTTTTTTATATCCAATTTCTATTAAATAAAATATGCAGCCCATTAAAAGAATAATTATTAGAAGGATAAATAGACTACAAAAAATTATTCAGAATTGAGGCATGCTTCTACCATCCACCGTGTTTATATGGAACAGAATATATAGCTTATTAAAAAAAAAAATTATCAAAAGGGTAACATATATATATATATATATATATATATATATTATTTTGAATATAAAAAATTCGGTAGGAAATAATCACCCCTAAGCAATATCAGCAACAAATATCAATAATAAGTAATCGAGTCCTTCAACTTTGAACGGAATATCTTATAAACATTGTTTATAATCTGGGGCTCAATAAGCACTCACAGATTGACACAAACACGCCTTTTTTTCCAGTTGCCATCAGGCGTTTTATTGAAACAATAAATCCGAACTACAAATTTCTCATTGATATTCAATGAGTTTCTTTATGCAAAAAATCAGATATCCAATTACAATGAAAAAATGACACGAGCTTGCCGCTCCCGGTAGAAAAGATTGAGGAAAAAGGAATAGCCCAGCAAGCAAAACTCGACGTTAATGCCGCGTGTAATGAGATAGATGACATGGTGGCGGTGTGAAAAAATATTATTCAGCCTTCCGAAAGGTTGCGGTGCGAATAAATATTATTCAGCCTTCTGAAACAGTGATTTAGCTAATTGAAGGTTAGTAGAGTGAGAGAACTTGGGAGGTAATGTCATTAGTGGATCATCCCCACTTAGTTTTTGAAATGCCATCCCCAACGTGAATCCCAAGGCACGACCTACAGGAACTGCAACTGCATTTCCAATTTGACGATACCTGCAAAAAAGTTCAAAAGTTTGTCATATAAACACCATGCTCGATACTGCGGTCACTGCACGCCCACGCATACATATACACGAGACATGAGATTGAGAACAGGACAGTGTATACACTTCATAGGAGGTAGGAAATAGCAATTTCATCACTCAAAGAACCAGTTATGGAATCAAAATTAACTAGTCAAAAGTAACAGGGCTGTGCAAACATCGATTTGTCAACAACCGTTGTTTTGAAAACAGATTGGGTGATCAAGCAACGGGGTCAACTGGCAGGTAATTGGTCAACCCACTTGTTTAACTAGAAATTATTTGAGTTTCAATTTTCAAATGACCTACTATGAGCACTAGGTCAGTTTCGAGGTGGTTCACTGGTTAAAAAATGTCTTCCTTTTCTTTTAAAAAATATGCACACAGACGCTGTCAGATGTTTTTGAGAAGGAAAAAAAAATAGAAATTTTCTGAAGAAATATACTCACCTTTGTTTAACTGTCCCGTAGAACCTATAATAATCAGGAAAACCTTGCAGCCTTGCACATTCTCGTATGGTGAGAACTCGATCTTGCTCTGGATGCATCACTGCCTACAAATGCATGACGAGTTATTACAATAAAAAAAACATATGATTATAAGCTTAAACAAGAGCAAGGAGGGACCTGGCTGTGAAGATCCGGAAAAGTAACAACAGTCGACACTGTTTCATCCCACCATAATCTCGCATATGGCCTAAACAGATACTCAGATCTTTAAAATGTTTGAAAAAAAAAATTATGAGAGGAAACAGGAGAAAAACTGTAACCTTCTAGACTTTCCTCCTTCAAAATTTAAGGCAAAATCAGGTACCTACAAGCAAATAAAACACAACTTAAATGAGTGCCAGTGCCCACTAAGCATGACATCAAAGTCCTAATTTACAACGGCCATAATGCAGTCCCTTTCACCCAATCAACAAATTTCAATACCTTTTGGTCTGTTCCTGTCCATTACAACAAACTCGTTTTGTTTAACCACCTCCCAATAGCTTTATGAAATATTTTAGTACTTCAAATCCCATTTACCTTATCTGTTCTTTTCCCCCTTGTCCAAATCATTTTTTGTATGCTAAAGTATATTTCAGAAATAAACATGGGATTGATATGTTTTATTCTATTATTTCTTGCCCAACAACAATAAGCAGGTATTTTTACTAAGTGCAGTTTGGATGTTTAGCTGAAAAGAGATCAAAATATGACTATGTTGATTTCCTTCCAAATGGTTATTAACAGTAAAGATCAGGTGGTTAGTCTTTAAATGTGAGTGATAGTTCTGGCTGAGGGAAAATATTTGTTTAATTTGGCAGGGACAAGACATGATCTTGAACCCAACCTGAAGCCATTAAATTGTGTTTGGAGCTGGCTGCACAGAAAGGATTGATCAAGTATCAATGTTTTCTCTTCCATTGTTGAGGCCGGCTACCAAATTGACTGCAAATTCCCTTCATTTTGTTTTTGAGAAGTATTCACATATATATCTTGGAGCACAATGTATCTATAGAACTATTTAACCATCTCTAGATAACTTTTCTTGTAACAGAATAAGAGTGAGTTTAGGAGACAACAATTGTAAAACTAGAGATCATTTCATTGCATAATTCAAAATGCAGGAAAGCATGCCCACAAGCAACATATATTTAAAATCACATATATTCCTATCCACAATTTATTTCACATTCATTAACTGAAAAAAAGAGTCAATCTGTCAAAGGAAAATGCAATAAAGCACTAACCAGGGGCTTTCCCGATGGCAACAGCATTTGCTCTTTCATTGGACCCCGCCGGGCAACATTGTCAGCTCCTACAACCACACCAGGTAGGTCCCTGAAATTTGCTCCCTAAAAGAATTTCTACATGAGAAAGAAAATCAAGGAATGAATCTCAGCATACCAATCCACAGAATCCATATTTATCCAACCTTTTTTTTAGGAATTTGGCAAACTCGAGCAAAATCTTCTTCAGTTAATGAATAAGGACGATGGTCATATAGCAAATTGATCATTCTTGTTCCACTGAGCTCAGAACCAGTCATCTCTACAGAGCCAGAAGAGAGAAAGATTAAAAAACAGTTATGTATTCAGCAATTAGCTCCATGAACACTCCCAAAGTTTTAACTTATTTTTAAAATATACAAAGGCATGTTTCACCAAATGTAAGGTCCAAAAGCTGACAGCCTTAAATAGGAGAACGATTTTCATTCTTCCATCTGGTTGACACCCCAGTTTGGAAAGAACTCATAAAATTGTGATAAAATTATATGTACAATATGGTAGTTACCTGCATGAATACAATTGGGGAAAACACAGTTTGAATATCTTATCATTATTAACCGACAGCAAAACCTGCCATGAATCTTTATCTTTTTGCTCTGATGATGGATAAAAAAAATTAAGCATATTCCAGACAACACACTGTGACTTGAACTTTTTGTGGCAACAACTCTAGTAGATTAAAAAAGAGCTTGAGTTAATTGAAAGCTGAATAGTGAAAAACAACCTAGAGTTCAAACTCAAAAGGGTTCAAATTAAGCAGAAATGTATTGTAACTTTAGCAGCATATAGGAAAAGAAGGAGAATATGTTAACTTAGATGCATGCAAAGGAATTGATACTATAACTATTATGCAATGCAACAATTTAAACAAAAAGGAGAGAGTATCATATCTATCTATAGCAATAGTAGATCTAAATGCAAAGAGAAGATGTACAGATCTATGGTTGAGCCACCTAAGAGTCCATTTTTCAGGTGCTCATGCAGTGTGGAAATAGAAACAAACTCGCCATATAATTAAATTTTACAAAAAAATCGTACATAAACTACTTTTGATTGAGCTCCAAACTCATCAACTTTATCACAAGAATTTTTCACTACTTTATTGCCAGTAATTGTCATTATCTCTCACAATTTAGGAGACTATAGAGTTGAGATTAAACAGTGATGTTAAGACAATGAAAAGCATAAGCTTGTTTGCAAAAAGCAACAACAGAGTCAAAGACAACCGCCAAACTCAAATATAGGTCTCAAAAAATTCAAATTTGGCCCCCATGAAACATTGTTAGGATAAGGTTCCCTGCAATTTGAATAGATCTATACTATTAAATTCTGAGTATTGACATGCATTTTGCTTTTCTTTCATTTAGAATATAGAACTTTTGGCATGATAAAGAGAACCAAGATGGTCAAGTTTTTATGTTTTGCTGCATTATTTTATTGGTTTATTGCCAAAGTTCTATAACTTCTCTAATGTAAAAAAGTTTTAAAAGTTCAATTTATTTAATAACCCAAAAAATGGAGATGAAAAGTTTAATTTATTTCATAGCTACCTCATTTATTTCTTTTTATTTTTTTCAGAATTATTATGTTGTTGGTAATATTAAACATTTAGTACACACACTCATAATGAACGAGAACTCACAGGGACAAGATGTGGAATAAAAGAACAGACAGTAAATCACGGAGAAGTAAGAAAGAAGAGAATGGTCAAAAGAAACCATAAACATATTCAGTCGTTAGCTTTCTCATAGACCATTACTATCTCTTCAGCTTTGGAGCAAATTATCCCAAGGAATATAAGCAATGAATTCGCAAATGCTTCTTAGAAATTGGCAGATGCTGGTTAGCTATAGAGTCAAAGCAAGACGGTTGAACTCCAGATGCACAACTAGATTGCTATGTGATCCTAAGAACCCACTAAGTTGGAAGTATTCACCATTTCACCAATTATGCTTCTTACTAGAAATTGTTGGACACAATCATGTTCAATAAGCACAACTGAGATGGAAAATGGAAGAGAACGAAGACAAGAAGGAATTGGATTACCATGAGAACCAATTGAAGATAAAAGAGGACCATTTGAGATGGTTTAGCCTATATCCAGCTGGAATGTAGAGAGGCACTGGTGTGGCCTTAAACAGTAAAAAACAAAAGATTTCCCATAGATGGAAGAAATTGTATAAATAGGAACTTCAGCTTATTAAACTACCACTTAGTTAATTGAGTTGAGATGGATCCCTATATTACAGATATATAACTATATAATTTACAGATGGCTCTACACGAGATAAGATAAGCTCAAAATCTAATTATGCAAGTAGCTTGTCATAGTAATACTAAAATTTCAATTATTTCATCACCCAAATTTAGACAGATGCATTTTAACAGTCCAACCATATCCACATTTACATTTACAAAAGATAATATTGCGATGCCTCTGGTATAGCAATTGAGACTATTAATATTACCAAATTTTGCAATTTAAGAGTAATCACATTACCGTTTCTTGTTGACCTTATGAATTGTTGAAAGTCAGTTTCTGGAGGCTTGTCATATGCCATTTTCTCACGGGTTTCATGGCTTGTGACCTTTAACATCAAGTAAGATGAGAGTAAAATAGAATTACTAAAGTTGTCCATCAATAAATGGAAATACAGCATACAGTGAACCTACATCTGGAAGATCTGAAATGGCATCGCGAAGAACTGTGGCTTTTTCTAGATCATCACGAGGTTGATCTTCATCATAGGCAACAGTGTTCCGCTGCAATAACCAATCAAATCATCAACTAACTATATAGGCTGCAGATAAATGTGATTTCAGACCTTTGTGAAAGAAAGCTGATACCTCAAACTCAGGTGGAGGCCAATATCTGACAATGACATCATGAGAAGGAAGTGGAAATTGAGGCAGTTTCTGCAGGGGGAAAGAAAGCAATAAAACAATTAGATGGTCATTTAACATCACAAAGAGTTCAAGATATTCAGACTGTCATTATGCCTGATGAATGTTATGTCTTTTAGCAATTGAAATTTCATGTTGTCTTGGCCATTGAAGATTACTTCCAGCACATAAGAATGGTTGTTCATTTTTTCTATTTTAAATGGTCTTCTTATAGACTTATTCTAAATACAAGTTTTGGGGAAATGAATGGGTCGAATTCCCTATAAAATATCATTATGATGATTGAAACCATGAATTATGAAACTTGCCTCCTTGGGATGAGCTCCCCACAAGAAAACACGCAGCCGAAATTGTGGAAGACCATAACAACCAGCTGCAACAGTGCCAAGCCTTGCTTGGTATTTCATATGCACCAATCGGCTTAAAGCATATCTAGCAAACGAAGCCTTGTCAAATCTAAGGATGTCAACTACATTTTCCATCAGCACATACTTAGGTTTTAAGAACTGCACTATGTCCATGAAGACAACAATCTGAATATTTCTTTCATCAGCAAGAGGAGAATCAACATTTCTATAGCGATTATAGCCACTAATCCCTTGGCATGGAGGACCTCCACAAATCACATCAGCATCACCCTGGTACATAATGATTCATTAGGAAAATGCTGGTGTAAGAATTTAGATAGCATCCCAGCTTGTAGCAACAGTGAGAGAGAACTCACAGGAAGAGGCAAGATCTTGGATTTGAACCCCTCTCTTACAAAATCCCGTATACAATCTCCACAGTTACTGAAAATTTTCAAATCAATACGTAATATTGGACAGAGTCAAGCAGAAATATTGCATTCTAAAAAGCATACCTTAAGCCTTCAATTGGTTCCCATGAATCTTCACTGGTACTATAACCCTTCCAGTGCACCTAACGAAATAGCTATGAGTAGAAAATCATCTTCACCAAACTACAATATCAAACAAAAAATGAATATGAATTATGACCCATGATGTTTAAGAGAAAACAAAGTTTCATTTAATTAAACATGCAATTTCACGCCTTTTTTACCATTTATTTTAAACAAGTTCTAATACTTGACCTCTAAAATTATTTAGGGAACATGCTTGTAGACTTCAGCAGAAAGTTGTCAAAACCCAAGTAAACTTCACAATTAAAAATTTGAGAGGAAAAAGGATTGGTACTTAAACACTAACATTACTTATTAATGCTTTTATATCAATACAAAGTCCAAAATTCTTCTAATACAATATGTTCTATTATTTTGCAAACTTATCAGTTTATATTTTTAATGTTAAAAATGATATCAAGATCATCAGCTTGACTCTCAAAAGCACGAGACAAGGACTTCCCTTAATAAAAACCATTTGGAATCATTCATTTATTTAATGCAAATTGATCCCGAAAAGCAATGATAAAAATTAACATCCGATTAATTATAAAGTTTGGGGTATGAACGATGATGTCTTATGCAGTGAACTAACAGAAATTTAGAGAATGGCAATTGTCATGAAGTACCTTAAATTTCAGCCCACGCTTTCCTCTCTTATCAGTCTTCCCATAACAAATGTCAACAAGCCTAGCAACTTCATATTCACCAGGAGCAATATCATCATCATTTGAAGAATTTTTATTTTGTTTTGACATACTTGATGCCATTGACCGTGAATTATGCGTCCTTCCTACATCATTGACCACATATCGTTTGCATAGCTTTTGCCATTCCTTCAATAGTTCAAGAAAATCCTCGGCAGCTTCATTCCTAACCTATATTTAAGACCATCATATATCTCATAAAATTCCAATTTTTTACAGAAGAACTAGCAGTAATCAAATGGTAGATCAGGCACACTCACATGTGTCTCCGGATGATTTAACTTCAAGCTTTGACATGCAGACTCATCACTGTCTAGCGCCCATCTCTAAAATAAAAGGGGAACAAAACTAAAGAAAAATCATGTGTGTGCTTAAACATGAAATTTCTTGACTTCAAGGAGTAACATAACAAAATTTCAAGAAAGTACCGTCACAAGATCGACACAAGAAACTTTGGCACCAAGGCATAATCCAGTTGACATTCCACCACAACCAGAGAAAAGATCTAGTAGTGTCAACTTTGCTTTGTAACTTCCACAAGTGGACATGTTTTCCATTGAAATATCACTGGGAGTTGCAGAACGAGAATCACAGAAAGGCAGTGGTGATAACTCATGTCCCTTTAATGAACAATCTGGAGACAGAACATCAGATGTACAGGTGTCATGCCTGGTTCAAAGCTTTCATCGTTTCATAGTCAGTTTTGTATATTTTATGGAACAAAAGGAGGAATTCAAGGTCATGCAAACACATGGTAATTACCAGGCTGTTCAAGAAAACCAAAAACAGCAGGATACCAAAAATAAAGTGAAAGTACCACTCAATCCTGAAACTTGTGAGATTCCAAAACACATTACTTTGAGTTAAAACCAATCCAGCTTGAAAATTGAAAAAAACCCTCCACTATATTGTGCATAAAAGAATAGGAGTGAGACTGATGACCACCATTTAAAGTCAATGTTCCAAAATGGAGAAGCATCACGACATAAAACAAAAGAAAGGACCACCAGCTGAAACAGAACTATAAAGATTTGTTTGAAAAGAAATTGGAACAAATACAAGATGAATGTTTCCTACTTTTAGCCTGCGAAATATCAATAAATAGATTAATATAGTGCCCAAGAAGATTGGTTAATTTTTATATATTTTTTTTTCTTTTTCTTTTTTCTTCCTGAACAGAGCACTATAATATGAAAGTCCTAAGCCCTAGTTGCTGCACTGATTCAGATGCCTTTCTTAAAAGACAGCTGGGGCAACAAGAGCATTCCAAACTAGTTGGGGTTGGCTGCATGCATCCTTTTATGCCATTCAGCTGAGGCAGAGTGAATGAACATAAATATGTTGACATGAATGTATCCATGCTAGAACGTATAAAAGGATGCATGCAAGAAATTCATTTAGTTGGAGAAAGAAAAGCGACACCATTAATGGATGGACTATCTTAAAGATATTGTTAGATCAGATGCTATCTAATCCTGCTGTTTTTGAAAAGTGTGTTCTCTTCCCTACAGACACCACCAGCCAGCATAATATCTAATCATTGAAGAGTCAAAAACAAACAAAAATACACAATAATGGCTTATATTTATAGCATTCATACACTGCAATGAAACTGTCATCAACCAGCTCAAATTTTGTCTTACATACAAGTGTTATCTTCCCTTTTAGAATCTGTTTTTTTGTTTCTCCGAGGTGGATAGATGGTGAAAGTAATTCAAACAGCATATCATACTGATCAAGGATACTATTTTAGCTTCAACCTATGCACCTTTTTATCTAGGAAGAAAAGATTGGCAACAGATAAGCACCAGTATCCCACAATACCTAATTGCATACTGGAATAAACACTCTTATCACAATACACTATCTTCCAGCTGATGCAAGTATTGGAGGAAAGAATAAAAGATCCAAAGGAATTATTTTCCACCATGTTGTACTCCATACACAAGAGTCAGATTTGTGATACAGAATTGGTGGGCATTAAGGGAGGTGATTTAATCAATTAAAGCATCAATATGTAATTTTCTGTTTTTTGAATTAGAATGAAGCGAAGATATTGTTGAATTTGTCTCTTATTAGCTGTTCTTTCTCAGTATCCTAAGGTTCTTTCTTTCCCTCTCCTTACCTACAAACCTAACAGTTGGGATCAAAATTTACTAGCATGAAACATGTGAAATTTGATGTTTGGGGCTTATCAAGCACATTGGCTCCTGACCAATATCTCATGCCTTCCATTGAATGATGAAACTGTTCCTTCCCTTCCTCCATTTCACATGCAATTGCAGCAAGACTCAAACAGCAACTCGGTACCAGGAGTAGAATTTAAATTCTTACCAGTCAGCAAAGTTCGAAATGTTGAATAATCCACACAGTATTCCATGTCAAAGTAGAAGTCAGACGCTAGTGTTGAATGAAATTTTAAATCTACCTGAAACAAGTTGCAATTTATTAAATTAGCATGCAAAATAAATTAATTAGGGGAAAAAAGGACGAGATGCCATCAAAGCCTACAAGAACTTGAAAAGGCAGCCTTCCTGAAGATTATTGAAGTTGATAAAAATCTAGAAGTAAGACTGAACCTTACCCTAGGTGATATCTGTACAACAGTGACTGTAGAAATAATGCAATCTATTGGATTATCATTCATCACTGTGGAATAAAATAACCGCTTATTGTCATGAAAATCAGCTGCTTCTTTCATCACCTGAGGAGATGGAACAGTGAAGAATTCAATACAAAAATAAATAAATGATTCAATCCAATAAAATTTATGTGCTCACCGTATCCTCAGCTCTGTAAAACCATTGGACCCTAAAATAATCTTCCCTGTCTGTTGTCTTGAAAAACTCTAAGATACTACCAATATGATTTTTTGCTCCTTCACCCTACAAATTGCTCCAATAGATAGATTAATGGTTCTGAAAAAACTCAAAACTTTTTTTCCCTCATAGTTCAGTAAAAGAAGTGTAGGCAATGCAATACTCCATTCTTGTGCCTAAGCTCTACTACGAAATAGGCTAATCCAAATTGTGCTAGCAACCATCCTGAAAAATCAATTTCAGAGGGGCAAGTGCAATAGAAAGAAATGCCGCATGATTAGGTAACAAAAAAATAAAATATATAGAACTTATTATTTAAAAATTTAGAGTGTTAACATTTAGCCTGAATATCAGCCCACATCTGAGTGTTTTCTTGCAAGCAGAATTGTAAGAAAGAAAAACAATATCACATACCAAGCAAATGCTTGGTCAATTAAATGAGGCTGACAAGCTAAAATAAGCATTGGAGCCAAATAACAGCTATTATGTAATGGAATTTTGAGTTCATATTATGTGACACCATATTGTTAACAAGAAGCTCGTACTTAACATACATAGAATAACAGCTTCTACCAAGGGTATGCAACTTGTGACTTCAAAAATATAGCCTAATCATAGGGTAGCAAAAGTATGAGTAGCATCAAAATAATGATGGTTTAACCTGATAGGAAGATGAAATGGTAATGTTGCACATAAGAAAAGAAATATCCATCATCAGTAAATTCTCATAAAAAATAGGTGCATTTACCTTTACATAGACACAATCTCCAAGATTAATGATGCGACCTTCAATATCAGCCTGAGTGTAATGGCATTCAACATTCCAAACAACCTTATCTTCATCATCATCGCTGAACAAACAAACATAAACAAAAATTGACAAGCAAAAAACCATAAGAAGCTAAAACATCATTAAAATAGGATACATAAAACAACAAATACCAGACAGATAGAATAGCTCATAACTGATTGCTTACTCTAAAGCGAGTCTTGAATGCTTGGTTCTCTTACTCTGCAAACTCAAAGATGCCCACCATGAATATTGGAATAATCAAAATCTATGGCAAATAGAATTAAAACAGCTAGCGTATGATTTACAGATAATTTCATGCACTAAAAGTTATGGAGCATGTCAAGTCACCACTTACTAGGAAGGATAAGATATCACTTGTTTGATCTGAAATCTTAATTAGCCAATACTACTAGCTCGTTACAGGTGCAAAGGCCACACAGCAAATCATTTTGGTAAGTTTGTTTTTTCAGTTTTAGCAGCAATGCAACTCCAGGAAACCAATTTTTTAAACTAATCTTTCTTCAATCTCTGGGAATTGGAGGTTTGTATCTTAAGATCCTAGAGGAGGTTTTTCTGACACAAAACTGTTGGTTAACAGACTGAGGCGACATTCATAGATGTGCTGTTTATGTGATAATCTGGTCTGTTTGGTTGGAGGACAATTCTAGAATCTTCAACACAAGCAACCACGCTTATACATTATTTGGATAGTATAGTGTACTTCACTTCTTATATACATGATATTTAGCAGGACTATTTCAGGGGTTTTCCATAGCCAAGATGCCACTTATAAGGGGGGTTACCTTATCATCTAAAGCTGCATGTTCTAGTTCTTAATTAAATTATGTCAGAAAAAGAAAAGAAAAACATCAAATTGACAATCATCTTTTGATATACATGTAAGATTGATGTTAGGCACAGGCCCTGCATCATTTGAACCTATATAACCTATTAAGACACATGACTGCTGTGACAACCACATCAAAGAAAATCTGCAACCAGAAGTTACCTTGAAAATCAGTAATAGTTCGTGTTCTAGTGCAACAAACTCATTTACAGTTAATAAGGCATAATTGATATACACCTACCACCAGGAGGAAATACAGAATTCTGATGACACGATGACCATCTAAAACCATCTAAACGTTTGAATAATAAAATAACACAACACCAGATTATCTTAAGAATTGCAACAAGATCTTATATGGTTGCCAAATTTTCACGTGGCAACAATAAATTCACAGACAAAAGTCAGATGAACCAAGCACAAATATAACTATTATCACCCAGTAAGACTGTTAGAGCCCCCCAAAATACCTAATACTGAAATAAAATTGCAATAAAAAAGAGTGCCAAATATGTACTGAAAATCAAGTAAAAGATAAAAATAAATATATAATAAAACAAGAATTTATTAGCCACCTTCATTTCATATCGCCAATACCACCTTTCTTGAGCTTCATCATGGGGGATAGGATCTCCAATAAGGGAACAATTACCTCTGTGTTCCTTCTGCTTCTTCCCTGAAGAAGCCTTCTCCAAAGACCGTTCTTTACCAGAATTCTTCTTTGGAGATTGCTTCTTACCTGACTTTTTTTCCCTACTTTCAGTCACAACAATAGAGTTTGTCCTGGGAGACCGTCTCAAGAGCTTTTCATCAGACATTCCTGAAGCAGAGTTTTCTTCACAAATTTTAACCCTCTTAGAAGGGCATACATCATTCGAATTAAAAATCCCACTGGAACAAGATATCACTTCAAAATTCCCATCCCCATCCAATGCCGAGGACCATTTACAAGATTTTATGGGAGACTCGTTAATAACAGCATTTTCATTTGCAAAATCAAAACTTGGAGACATCCTCAACGGCTCCTCCCCAAACACACTTGAGCCATCATCACATTTTACCATCCCAGTTTGCCTCTCATTGTCTTCATGCCATGGAAGCAATAGCGGTTTGGCTTCAAACTCTCCCGAATCCCCTACTTCAGAGTCAGAAATTGTCAACAAAACAGACTGACAACCACGCTTTTGACAGCATCCCAGTTTAGCATTTGCTGAACCGCATGCTACAGGTGACCCCTTTGTTATCTCCTTACTCGAGCATTCTACTTCCAAACAATTTCTTTCATTCTCTTCGCTAAAACACAAGCATGCAGAGTAATTACTAACTACCAGCTATAAAATTAAAATTAAAAAAAAAAAAAGAAACAGCAAAAAGTCGACCCAATAAATTTACTGTGTAATAAAATTATTACTTTACTATGAAGCGCGAGCATTTTTCACTCTGCAGAAAATAAAGAACCCATTGTTAACATCGAAGTAAACACAAGTACGCAATCCATAACAAAAGAAAAAATAACAACAGACTAACGAGCGTGCAGAAGAAAAACGACACCTGAACTAAGGCAAACTGTACGTCCAATCGGCCGTTCTGATTTCTCGGTGACCTTGACATCTCGTCGGACACTCTCTTTCTCTTCAAGAAAGTCCTCACTTTACCGACCGCAACCTCCGCGTACCCATTTGCCAGCCTCGGGGACCTCCTCAAGCGCGCTGTATCCGCCAAAACACCTGGAGCGTTTCGTTCACTAACAACAATCTCCATGTCCACACTTGACAGCCTCGGCGACCGCCTCAAAGCTGAAGAATCCACCAAAACTGTTCGGTTGGCGGCAACATTTTGCATGCGCGAATTCCCCGCCCTTGAGGACCTCGACGGGATTTTGAGGTCAACAGAAACGTTTCGAGCAGAGCATTTCGTTTTAGAAACGTTTCGGATGTGTTTTTTCCTCGAAACGCTTTGGACAGTAGCAGGTGCGGGTTCAAGCCTCGGAGATCGTCTGAGGGAAATGTGAGTTGTTTTGGGTTTGCTAGATTTGGGGGGTTTTGAAGGTACATTGTTGTTTGGTGGAGCTAATCTTGGAGATCTTCTTGAGGTAGAAGTGGATTCGTACACCTGCAGAGGTGTTAATTTTGGTCTTGAATCCGTTGGTGATGATGACGATTTCATTGCATGAGATTAGATTTGAGAGGGGGGGTTTTGGATTATTTTTTTTAAAGGGCGTGTGGAGAGTGGATGGGTAGTAGTAGAGTGTTCCAATCTTCGATGACTAGAAAAAGAGAGTTCTGAAAACAAGAGAGCGTTAATCTCTGACAGACACAGTCGTTGACGGAGGACTAAAGGAATGGACCAAGCGATTCTCGACAAGTCTCCCGGAATGTGAAAAGCAACTCTCCGCACTGAAGGGGATGGGAATTGATAATTTCACCGCAAACGGATAGAATGATAATTTCACCGCAACCGGGATTTTAAAATAATTAAATTAGCTTTTATGCAAAAAACTATTTTTTTATTTAAAAAAACATTTTTTAAAATTTAAAATTTAAAATTTGATATTATTTAATTCATTTGAGATAATTTATAAAATTAATTTCTTCCATTTTATTGTCTTTCAATTTTGTTATATGTAAAATTTGATTTTATTTTTTATTTATTTTATTTAAAATAATTTATAAAAACTAGAAAAAAACTTTAATTTTATTCTTTTTCTATTTTTTCATATATTAGATTTAATCATTGTTTTTTAGTTGTTATTTATTTTATTCAAGATAATTTATAAAATTATATTTTTTAATTTCATCATCTTTCAATTTTTTTATCTATCAAATTATAATTTATAAAATTATATTTTTTAATTTCATCACCTTTTAATTTTTTTATCTATCAAATTTGATTTTTATACTTTTAATAAGTTGGAAAAAAATATAATATTAATAAGTTATTTTTTATGGTATAGTTAAATACTTAAAATTATTTTCAATATATTTTTTATAATTATACCAAACATCAAAAAATTATCAACTTTGCAGCATCCAATTTTTCATAAAAACTATTTTTTGACAAATAAGTTGAGCCTAAGTATATATCTTATATTTTAATAGCTTTTATAATTTTAGTTTAAAAAAATATATTCAAAAATAAATTATAAATTATAGCTTTTTGTAATCAGTGTTTCAAAAAATATGGTGCGTGATAATTAACTAATATTTTTAAAACTATTTTATTTTTGGAGAAAAATACCATTCCAATTACATTATTAAATAAACTTTTGAAAGAATGGGTTAAAACTTTTATGAATAATTTAGATTTAAATAAAACTTTAAAAAATAAAAAATAAAATTGTGTATAAATATTGTTATTTTTAATTAAGACTCGGTTTAAAATTTAATAATATCTTTAAAATTATAAAAAAAGGATTACACTTATACTATAGCTATATTATATATAATTATAACTACAAAAATATATAGTATATGTTAACTGACTAAATATTTTCAAAACTATGATTAAAGTAAATTATAATTTTAATGAATGGCTAGAAGAATGAGTTAGAAATTTTATGCGTAGTTGATGTTCAGATAAAACTTGAAAAGGTAGTTGATGTTCAGATAAAACTTGAAAAGATAAAGTTGTGTGTAGATATTGTAATACTCTGTATCACTGTATCGATAAGTAAAGAAGTAGTAACTAGTATTATTAAAAATATTGGTTGTTAACTTATCATGCGAGTTTTAGAATATCAAGCTTAAAAATAAATCTGTATCATCAAGAATAAAATTATAAGTTCAATCGAACATGTTGGACTGCTATAAATGTTATTATTCTCAATCTAGACCCAATCTAAAATTTAATAATATACTTAAAATTATAAAAAGCAATTACACTTATACCGTAGCTATATTATATATAGTTATAAATATTATATGATTATAAATACAAAAATATGATGTGTGTTAATTGATTAAATATTTCCAAAACTATGATTGGAATAAAATACAATTTTAATTACATTATCAAATGAACTATAGAAGAAATGAGTTAGAAATTTTATGAATAGTTTAGGTTTAGATAAAAATTGAAAAAATAAAATTATATATGGATATTTTTATTCTCAATCCAGAACCAATCTAAAATTTAATCTTTAAAATTATATTAAAAAATTACACTTATACCATAGTTATATTATATATAATTATAAATACAAAAGGATGGGGTGGTGAAAGTGAAATTCACTATTCAGAACATTATGGATTTCACCATTTATTTCTACGGTGCCTATATTTTCATGTTGGTCATTCAACTTTATTTATCTGTAATTTTATCCTTTAAAGTTATATTAATATATTTTTACGTGTTGAGATTTATTTCACTATGCATGCTCTTACTTTATATATAGATTAATAATTTCATGATAAATTAAAGATAAATGTTACAAAATAGAATTATTGGTTGCAGCTAAAAACATAAAGAGAAAAATGATCAAATTGAATAAAAAAATAAAATAGTTCTTTTTCTCATTTTAAATTAAAAAACTTCAACTTGGTCCTTACAGTTTCAGTTTATATATATATTTGGTCTATAATGTTTTAAGTTTTGATATTTTTATCTTAAACTTTATATTTTTCATGTTTCAATCTTTAGATATTAAAAGGAGAGAGATGATTGTTATAAAAGTTTTAGGAAAGTGAAGGTGCTTTGATGATAACATTCTAACTCACAGTAAAGTTGATTTTAGTGTTAGTGTTTTTTTTTTTGTAAGAAAAGTTTAATGATTTTTGCAAGAGAAGTTCAATGAAAATAGTGTTGTCCTGTAAAGATGAAAAAGTACATAAAGGTTCATGAATTTTTTTATTCATTTATTTTTTTTTAGTGATTAAATAGGGATTTAGTAAGAAAAGTTTAATGAAAATAGTGTTGTTCTGTAAAGATGAAAAAGTAGATAAAGGTTCATGATTTTTTTTATTCATTTAATTTTTTTTTAGTGATTAAATAGGGATTTAGGGTTGAAAACTTGATTATCGAGTTTTCTATAATGTTTTTAGATGTTTCATGTGAAATCAAGTTAAAAATAGTTTTGTAGGATCTTTATAATTGGAAGCATAATGCATGTTATAAATTGTACAACACTAGATATTGCATACTCAATAAATGAGTTGATTAAATTTATAATTAATCCATGAATTATTGAAAAATAATAAATAAGACACTTGGATATTTGATGTACTCGTTAAACTATAAGCTACATTATTGTACTAGATACCTGGTGTTATTGGAAGGTTATAATAATTTAAATCAAATATCTAATATTAAGAATTTAAAATTTTCTAGTGGATACAATTCAAAATCCATAAGAACTATAATGAAATCAGATTTTATACCTCTTAATAAAGTTACAAAAAAAGTAGAATAGCTTTGGAATTTCTTTAAGGATACTCAATATTGGCCAAAATCAATCCCAATAATTTATATTGATTATTATAGCATGTTAGAAATTGGAAGAGTATTAAGTAGTATGTATAATAATAAGTCTAAATATTTACATTATATACATAATATTGTTAAATACTTGTTCTTGAATAAAAATTTTTAACTGGATATATAAAATCAAACTAAGTCATGTGGCATACCTAGTAACTCTAAAAACAATAATTTCCTGCTTGTTCCTATGATAATAACAGAATTAGTTGCAATGTGACAAGGGCAATTTATGTTCTTAATGATTTTGTACGTCTTAGTTTACCAAGTAGAATATATTATAATATTTTTAATAAAACATCACTTGTATAAATAAAAAATTTAATAATTTATTTAAAAATTTTATAAAGACTAGATTATCTAAATTACTCATGAAAACTGGTAATTATTCGAGACCAAAATAAACACATTAATGAGAACCAAAAAGGAACTCTAAAAAGAGAACTAATATTGTTATCTTCACTTGTATATAATATTAAATAGTTCAAGACAACGAGTTTACTAATTAATTGAGTAAATTTAATAGCACTTCACTAGATAAGGTTAAAAACCAAAATCTACCTATCATTATAAAGGGATCTACCAATTTATATTATCTTTATGAATTTATTTAGTTTTCATATATTGTTAATTCAATTTCCATTAATGCAGAGGGTTAGTGAATATATTTGAAGTTAATGTAATTATAAGATCCCCTCATAGTTTCTGTTAAGACTATTTCGAAAATTATTTTCCAACATGCGTGAAAATATTTATTTCTTCACGTAATAATGGAAATTGCGTCAACATTTTTTTGTCAAGTTTGCATTATATTTTGATTAAAGTTTGAATTTTTAAACAATTAAGACAACATCTCTCCAAGTTATGTCTTTTACATTCAAATGTATCCAAAAATACATCAATGAGTTTTTATTTTGTGAAACAAAGGCTTTGTTTAAATTTGGATTTTGATAATTAGGTTTACGAGTCTACTAGTTTAAGGGACTAATATAGATACAATGCAATGTTTTTAACAAAAAAAAATTATTAAGGTGTGAAATTCTTGATTTAAAATCTAATGTTAATTTAATGAACAACCATCAATAATAAATGACTTGCAAATAAATTTAAAAAATAATTTAAATAATTAAGCATGTGCTTATAATGAATTTAAAAGATGTCAGATGCATGAAGTTTATACGGATTTATTTATTTATTAGGTGAATTTCATTTAATTATATATTAAAAATGCAAGATAGGGATTACGTTTTAGTTTAAATACAACTAGTTAGGCACATGCTCTATGCTATAGTTAGAATTTCAAATTAATTTGTAATGTAAGAGAAAAATAAGCAGGCTTTATGAACATGTTTTATAGCATCATTACAAAATTTAACCGAGAATTAAAAATTTGATGTCCATGTTTAGTAAAAATTGAACCAATATATTATAAAAATAGTTTTTACAAATTGAAAAGCATGTGAACCAATATATTATAAAAATAGTTTTTAACAATAATTAAAAATTAAAATAAAAGGTTGATATTCATTGTAACGAGTGAGAGATAAAAATAAAAATAAATATATATCAAGATATTTTATGTTATTTTTATTTTTTTATTTAATTAAGATAAAAATAAAGATAAATATATATCAAGATATTTTATGTCATTTTTATTTTTTTTATTTAATTATAAGGTAATAAAAATAATTTTTTATAAGAAAAGTAATTATTTAAATTTTGTATAAAAATGGAATTTTTAAGTCTAAATTCTCTTCCTACTATTAATATATTTTTTAACAAAAAAACTTACCCTTTTTTAGCTATGTGACTTATTGTATAAAATATTGAAGGTAATGAAAATAAATATCTAAAACAATTTACTGATGAGAGAAAAAAATGTATTTTTTTATTTACGCATTCATTTTTTTATATATAAAAATGTATTTTTTTCTCTTTTTATTTACGCATTCATTTTTTTATATATAAAAACCATTTTTATCAAAAGTATTATTAAAAAAAAGACAAAACTTATCATAATATTAAAAGCAAGTTTTAATTAAAAAATAATTTTTGATAATTTTGATGCTTTTTTGGAAAAAAATATAAGAATAATGGATTTGAGAAAACTTGTATAAAATATTTATAATAAAAAATAACAAAATCCACATTGAATATTCAAGAGTAAAATTTTTATAAAATTATGTATATTAGGTTTATTATAATTATTTGGGTATAATTACATAATTATTTTAGTAAATTTATTTTAAGAGAATCTTATTATAAAATGCAAAAAAAATTAAAGATCCATTACAAAAAAAAAAGGGCCAACATGTTTAGGCCGGAAGAATAAGATTATGTTCCTGACTCACAATTAAAAACCAAGACGTGCCAAGTTTTTTTTTTTTTTTTCTTTAGAAGGCAGCTAATTTTTTATTAGAAGATGCCCTCACTTAGGCAAACCACGTGTCATCAATCTGTAACCTTTTCTAGTAACCAGGGTGATTCCGATGACCAAAAACCAACTTCAAGTTTTTGGATATCAAAAGTTCAGATTTCAACCCAAAAAACATGAAAAAAATAAATCACATATATCTTTTAAAACCAGTTTATAACCTTGAAACACATTATAATTGATCTGAAAACTCAAAAGTAAATCAGAAAAATAAATATTAAGCTTCAATTTACTTTCTTTTGAGATATTATTGAAGGTATAAACCATTTTCACTTTTTAAAGATAAATTTATAAATATCAAAAATATTTTTGTGATCAAAATTCGACCACGCAAGAGTTTTTCATTTTTTTTTTTCCAGAGATTTTCTCTATTCTCTTGGCTTCTAGGATTGAAACATGACAAAAGTGAGGTTTAGAATAAAAAAATTAATAAGCTTAAAAAACAGGAATGGAATATGAAAAAAAAAAAACATGAGGGTCGAAGTGAATCTTTTTAACATCTTATGTGAAAAATGGCTTTGCTTCTTTTTATGTCAATTTGGATACTTCATGTCTTAATTTGTTTTTTAACAAAGAAAATTAATACTTTATCTTGTAGAGTTATTTGTTAATTTAATGTTAGAACATTCAACGTCACATCAGGTAAAAGATAGAAAACAGATTTTAACGCATAGTACAATGAAAATATAATTTCAAAGGACGAGATAAAAAAAGGTCCAATGATTAAATTATAACTTGTGCAAACTGCAAGGATCAAAGAGTAAAAAAGTAGCAAAAATACCCAGTGAAAAAACACTGAACTATGAGCGTGTAGTCAATGCTTTTTCTGCAATAAAACCATAATCTCATTTAGTTGTTTTTGGTTAATGGTTTATGGGTTTGATTTGCCAAAATTATGATTTGTTAAAAAAATTAATTTGAAGTAAAGATAAAAATATTTTTTAAATATAAAAAAATTAAAATCCAAAACATAACAACATGGGTTTTGATCCCAGTAACGAAGGAGCCCAGACACAGTCCAGGAGGAAGTGGAGCATGGCTGCAGAAATGTTCATTAGACACAGCACCATGTGTGTAGGATAACTGGTTCATCTTCCTTCAATTTCTCTCATTCCAGAATATTAATGGATCTGGTTCTCATGCTTTTCAACCAGCGTTCACAGAACCAAGGGACTTGAAAAAACCCAAAAACAGAGAAACTAGTAGCAGCTGGTATCTCATTTACACAGGGGGGTTTTATCTCGTTCATGGTTTTTAAAATCTTTTTTAAAAAATAATTCAAATAAAACTAATGCATCCGTAAGCGGAATATTCAAGTTATTCAGAACACCGTTTAAATTTATTAATCGACAAGTGATACTGTCTTCCATAAGGGTAACTAAATCACTCTCCAGAATACAAGGAAACAAGATGTTCTAGATTTTCTTTTAATGTTTCACGACCTTTCAAAACTAGAAACTAGCCAAGGCAAGCAGCAATTTAATTCCATGCCAGGTAAGCTGACAAATCGTTGAAATAAAAGAATGGACCAAATAACTAGCATATGCACTACCTGGACATTAGTTTGGATGAAACCAGAAAAATAAAACATCGAGCTATTACTGGCTGATACTGTTCGACTAGCAATTCAAATTGGAAATATTGTAGCAGTATCCTTGTTTGTTTGCCAAATGCTCAAAACAAGTTCCACCTGTTGCTACAAAAACTGTGCTCCAGGCCATGGACATTTTCATCTTCTGTCCAAGTAACTGGCAGCATCTGAAGTTTTAAGTTAACCACAGAAATTAAGCTTCTTCATAACTTTGGCATAGGCTGCAGGTACAGTAGATGGTTGTCTCAGTCGACGTTTTGATTTCTTTGACTGCATTAAACATAAAATTTCTGTCAATCACAAATGAAATCAGCTAATGCCAAATCACACCCCCCTAATAAAAGAAAAACAAACTGTAAGATCTGAACACGAGGATTTTCTGCTGGTAACTACAACTTTTGGAACTTGGGAGGAGAGCAGTGGATGGTGGGGGCACCTAGAAATAAGTAAACAGTTGAAGATGTAATCATCTTATTTCTGATTGAGTGAAGTTCAAACCAAAATGAACGCTCATCAACCCCACTTCTCCATTGAGAAAAGAATCCTCAAAATGCCACCTTTCATTGAGCAACACATCTTCAACTATCATTCCTTAAATTGGGTTAACACAAGAGTACTAGGCAAACAAACTCAGACATCAATGCAACAGAAGAGTACTATCATTCCTTAAATTGGGCACAGTACACACAAGTTAATAAGACATTTGTGCCCGCCATCAATAAAACTCTTCCACATCAAAATGCAAGCGAAAAGGAAACAGAGCTGAGCACATCAGGACCAAAGGAGATCATAAATGCAAACAGCCTAGGATTGGAAAATGACACAGAAAAGATGTTCTATTAAAAACAAGTGCTGAACTAGCATTCTTTATGATGGCAAGATATAGAAACCAGAGCAACATTGCAAACTTACAGATGAACATCACATATAAATGAATCCGGGCCACCTGAAAATGTATTTTGAGTACTAAAGGAGGCTCCTCCTTATCTCCAAACTTAGAAAGCTAAATAACATGTCCAGTGTAAACTTGATTCATATGTGGATTGTAGTCAAGCATCACTACAACTTTGCAACAGGCATGGCTTATGAAATACTAAGTAGAATTAGCATGCACTTTATATAATTAAGAAACAAGCTATATAGTTATCAACTTATGGAAAACATGTAGCTAAGGACCATCTAGTATCAATAACATGAAAAGGAAAGGAAAATGACAGCATGAAATTACTGAAAGACATACCTTCGAGTGCGCATTGTGATTCTTGCCCTCCCTCCAGCGACGAATAGTCCCATCATTCATTGTCCTGAATCTTTCCTTATAAGACCTGATCAGGACAAACTAAAAACAGTTATTCACAGAAATTTAAATAGCACTTTCATAGAAAGAAAAGAAACCGAGTAAAACAGCTTAAACTCACGAGTAAGCCTTCATTTTAATCTTTTTTACTTTGGAGGTGCGTGGAGTCATTGGCTTCCTCCTCTTTTTCCGCTCCCTTGATGAAACATGACGCACTTGCACCAACTGGAACACCACAAAGAAATCTACAATTGCATTAAAAAGAAATTCGAAGTGATTTGGATTTAACATCAAATGGAAAATTCCTGGACTCGTGTTGATTGTTAGGATGGAAAAGGAAGGGATCGGAACATCTACATACACTCCTGTATAAAATAGAAAGCCGAACTCAAGATAATACAATTACGCTTAAGTATCAAAAAATTTCAACTTCTCTGTCCATTTTATAAGCGATTGCTGAGAAGGTAAATGAAAAACTAGCATTTCCAATGTATTAGCTAATAGGCTAGGATGCACAGCATGGCTAGTCAAGTGTTGGAACAAATTTGACATGGGTTCTTCTAATTCTTCTTCAGAATTCAACTCCTTGCCAATAACGACTATATCATTTTAGACTATAATTCTACAAGCAATAGTTTTAAGCCAATTATTTTGCAAATTCTCAAGATTAAAGAAAATGATCGGCATTTGCTGCAAAATTATTGAATCACATATAGAATGAGGTACATTCAGTAAGACCTGAAACAACAGTTAATGCAAAGATTGAACTACTGGTAACTAAATCTAGATAAAAGGTAACCGTTTCTTTGCGGCACTTCCTCAGTATTCAGGCATACAAAAAAGAATCAACAAGCGAATAACCATTTCTTTGCGGCACTTCCTCAGTATTCATGCATACAAAAAAGAATCAACAAGCGAATAACCATGCAAAAAACAAAACAAAGGAAGCCCAAAAGCCTTACCGAGTGGGGGAGTTGAGACAGACGCGAAGAGGACAGAGCTGCCACCGAAGGAAGCTGAATTGGTAAAGAAGAAGATGCGTTCAAAAGGGACCCATTAAGATTCCATTTACGGGAAGCAGCGGCGAAATGGAGATGTCGGTGATAAGATTGTGGAGGCGGGTGGAGGAGGCGGTGTGAGGAGGAAGCAGAGGCTAAAGATCGGAGCTTGGTGCATAATCTCTGCATTTCGAGAAGGAAAATGACAGGCTTTGAATTGATTAGAAGGTAAAACCGTCAGAGGATTCAATCACTGCTCTTTGGTGGGGTTTTGGTTTGGGGATTGTAGTTGGAGGCTGGGTGTTTGGAGAATGGTTTAACTGGAAGCCTTTCTCGTGGAGACATGTTTGCCTGTATCGAGTTAGGACTGTCCTTGCCTTGGACAATGCGGTGGGGGTAGCTGACTGCCTTGGCTGTAGATTTTTTTAAAAATAATTTTTTTGGAATATATTAAGATAATATATATATATTTTTAATTTTTTTTTTAATATTAATACATTAAAATAAATAAAAATTATATAAAATATTAATTTTAAAAACTTATTTTTTTAAAAAAAATTCAAAAATACAGTTGAGCACAATGTTAAACCAGCTTTCATCAATTTTGTAGTAGACTACATATGCCTGTAATTCCTTTATTATAAAAATTATGTCAATTGTGTTTTCTTTTAATATTTTAATTGATATGATTTTTTTATGATATATTTTTTTATGTGTTTGTTTTTGTAGTTGAATGATGTTTTTGAAGAATTTTAATTTTTTTTAAATTATATTTTTGAGTGTTTTTAAATTTTTTTGATGTGCTGATATTAAAAATAATTTTTTTTTTAAAATAAAAAATAATTTTAATAAATTCTAAACCAAAATTATTTTAAAAAATATTTTTTACCATAATTCTAAACACAAACAATGTGTTCATTTAAGATGAAAAAAAAAATTCTAAAAAAATAAAATTTGATTTTTTTGAATTTCAATAATTAACATAAATAAGAAATATTTTAATTTTTTTGAAATATAATCCAAACGTTAATGTATTTTTGATTTTTTTTTTATTTTTTGATGTAATTGCTCATGAATGTAGTCTATTTTAATTATTACTAGTGACTTTTTTATATAATTAGATTTATTTTATTGAATTTTTTTTTAACAATATTAATATTATGTAATCATAATTTTGATATATTTATAAGTTCCTAGCCCATATCTAGCCATTGATTTAGGGATTTCTTGTGATGATTGTGTGTTTAAGATTGTATGGAATTGTGATTTTCCAAATAAAATTTTCTCTAAAAACTCATTGTAATAAATTATTTCTACCGTAGTACATTAAAATCATATGAAGAAAATATATTGATTTAATATTTTTTTAAATTTAAAATACTTTTTAAAATATATCCGAAATCAAAAGCAGAAAAACAATCAATCACCATGACGTCTATGGAAATGCAAGAAAAGACCCAGAGGATAGTCCCGAGCCCTGCCTCGTCGATGACCAGAAAGAAAGTAACCCTTAAACACTGTGCTACTTCGCAAGGAAACAAAGACCAACGAAATGGACGCAAATCACGAATCACAAAACGACACGTACACAACCCCCGAATTCTTCATCCCTGTAAAGCTCCTCCTCCTCCTCCTCCATCGATCCTCACATGCACGTGCGCTCTTCTACCAGTGCCCATCCAGCCTAAAGAAAAAAAAACACATACAGAAGCAATAAAAAGGTGGCCTAAGCATTGAAAAAACTTGTAGGATACAGAGGAAAGAAAGCAGAAAGAGAACAATAACAGCCTTTACCATTATTCTCAAGCATCCAGCAGCACATGTACAGGGATCCCAAGTTGCCTTGGCAATGTTGGCGTCTCCACTTTCCCTTCCAGCCCCCCAAAAAAAAAACACATCAGGATAAGGTTTCCACCACCTTCCACTTTCCTTTCCAAAAAACAAAAAGAATAATAATAATAATAATAAAACTTACTCAACTTTTCTAACTTATTATAATTAGAAACTAGAAAAGCTAACTACAACAGTAAAGGTGAAGTCATATTCTTTCTTCCTGTTTCTTCCACTCCTCTCTTTCCTTCCTTCACCAACACTCTCCCTCTGTTTCTTCCCCTCCCTCTGCTTTCTATCTCTGTTGTTCTCTACCATGGCAACTCTTCAGGACATAGGAGTCTCAGCTTTCATAAACATTCTTGGTGCTTTTGCATTCTTGCTGGCTTTTGCTCTACTGAGAATCCAACCCATCAATGACAGAGTTTACTTTCCAAAGTGGTACATTAGTGGAGGAAGGAGCAGCCCAAGAATGGCTGGTAACTTTGTGGGCAAATTGGTGAACCTCAATATCAAGACTTACCTGACCTTCTTGAACTGGATGCCTCAAGCCTTGAAGATGAGCGAAGCAGAGATTATCAACCATGCTGGTCTTGACTCTGCTGTTTTTCTTAGGATTTACACTCTCGGGTACTCTTTTTTTTTTTTTTCCATTAAAAACTCTCAATTTTCTTCAGCTTCTTTCACGAGCCTTGTCAGTATGCCATGGCTTTGTTTTGGTCATTTTGTAGAATGCTCTCAATTTGTTTGACTATGAAAACTAGTAGGTAGAGGAAATTGAAAGTTTTGGAAGTTTATGAGTGACAATGTAAGTTGTTCAAATGAATTGGTGGCAATCTGCGAATTTGGTTTCGTGGAGCTTTATTTGGATGTCTGTGCAGTGCATATGGTAATCTTGGTATATGTTCATCTTGCTGTTTATTTACCTTGGATTGAGTGAAGAGATGCATGCCTTTCTTTATAAGTTTATTTAGCATATCATTGACACTGACAAACGCTCTTCAATTTATTTTCTTTTCTTTTCTTTTCCTTGTTTTTTTTTTTTTTTGAAATGGGTTCGGAAGAACCACGGTCAAGTTCCATTTGGCTGTATTTTCTTCATAACATCAGCTAAGGCTTTGAGAGTCCCAAGTTTCAATGATGGCGGATGTTTAACAACTGATATTTTCCGATTCATTTGGCAGCTTAAAGATTTTTGTTCCAATTACAATCCTTGCGCTCTTAATTCTCATTCCAGTGAATGTATCCAGTGGAACACTATTCTTTTTAAGGAAAGAATTGGTTGTGAGTGACATTGACAAGCTTTCAATATCAAATGTCCGTCCTCGTTCCATAAGGTAAGTTTATGTTTCTTTTAGGTAGAGCCAAATGCACATGCTTTGCATTTGTATTTCTAAAATATTATTTTGTTAACTTTTTTATCATTTCTTTCGATTGTTTCCTTACAGTTTTCTGCTTGAACTACCGTTTTTGTTGATTGATATGATTTGCTAAAAATATTAGCAAACTTGTTGCTATATAGTCTAATGGTGGCTTCTAATTACCTCTTGCTTTATTGCGACTTTGAAAATGTACAGTTTAGCATATTCTGAAGACCATTTGCTATCAATTTCAGATTTTTTATCCACATAGCGTTGCAATATGCATTCACTACATGGACTTGCTTCATGCTCTACAAGGAATATGATCATGTTGCATCAATGAGATTGCGTTTCCTGGCTTCACAAACAAGGCATGCTGAACAGTTCACTGTGAGTTTGACTCAAATTTTTCTTTATTGTTTGAGTGAGAACTTTCTGCATGATATCAATCAAAAGTAAACAATCACATCACCATTTCGTTCCAATCCTCATATAAATTATAAATGATCCAACTTCATGCTTAGATTCTTCTTTTAGTGAGCTTACTGTTTTTTTTTTTTTTTTTATGGTTTATTTGACATATGAATAGACATGCTGAAGAAAGAAAGGGAGAAGATGCATCTCATAAGTAAATAAGAGGACAAAAAAAGATGTGATAATCTTGTAAAATTTGAGAAAGTTTACAGAGCTTAATATATTTCGTAGGGTAATGATGGTTTTTTTTCTCTTGAACTCATTATCTTTTGCAGGTAGTGGTCAGGAATGTTCCGCATGTTTCTGGTCGGTCAGTATTAGACACAGTGGAACAATTCTTTAAAAAAAACCATCCGAATACTTACCTTTGTCAGCAGGTACCATAGTTCTATTGAGATTAATCTTAACTAATTTATCTGTTCTTTTTTTCATAATTTTAATTTGGTCAAAGTGAAAATGGTCTTTGTATGGATTTTATGTTTAGATGATACATGCATGATTTCAAGTTCTCTTAACTAATTTTCCTACTTTTTTTACAAGAGTAATTTGATTTAAATGAAAATAGTCTTTGAATGGATTTTATGGAAGGATGGTATATGCATGATTTATGTGCTTAAACTTTTGCTGGCCCTATAATTTATCAAAGAGAATTGGAATTTCTATGCAGGCAGTCTATAATGCAAGCAAATTTGTGAAACTTGTGAGAAAAAGAGATAGACTGCGAAATTGGCTCGATTATAACCAGCTTAAGTTTGAAAGACATCCAGACAAAAGGCCCACTCGAAAGGTGAAGTTTGTGTATTTAGACCTGTAATCATAACTTTCTTCCATGTGCGCGCTTGAGCATGCATCATTGCATGTGTTTGTCGGGATCCTTGGGAGAACTAACAAGTCTTTCATCACCAAACTATCTTGTTTATAATCCAAGTTTTCCAAGTGATTGTAAAATTTATTTCTCCATTCATATAGATGACACACGTTAATTACATTTCCATCTATATTAAAAAACCTTTTGTCTTTGTAGCTTGTGAAATGAATTATAGCTCTATATGTGTGCAAAATTTAACGATATGAGACATTCCAATTGCCTTTAAAATCAACTTGCGAGATCTATAAACATTAACTTCATTGATCAAATCGGCGATAGTTAGATACAAAAAGTCATGGAATGCCGCGAACAATGGAAGCCATACACCTTTCGAATTAAACTTGCCTAACAAAAGTCTGTTGTTCATTTAAAAAAGCACTACGTTGATGATTTGACTTGTTTATTTTTCAGAAAGGATTTCTAGGAATCTGGGGTGAAAGAGTTGATTCTATTGAATATTACAAACAACAAATACAGCTGTTGGAGAAGAATGTAAGCCAAGAGTTTTATTTGCCTTCAACCTTTCAATATTTCATTCCGTTAAACTTAGCTGTCTTATACTGTCATAATTTTTAACTTGTTTTGCATCTAGTGCTTTACCACTCAAAATTGTTGATAAAAATTGCTTAATGCATGTATTTGATGCCCATATGTTTCAGATGGCATTGGAGCGCCAAAAAATTCTTACAGACTCAAAATCTATCCTGCCAGTTTCTTTTGTTTCTTTTAATTCGCGCTGGGGGGCAGCTGTTTGTGCACAAACACAACAAAGCAAGAATCCAACATTATGGTTGACAAATTGGGCTCCAGATCCTCGCGATATCTATTGGCGTAATTTGGCTATACCATTTGTGTCACTGACTGTTCGAAAGCTTATAATATCTTTGTCAGTGTTTGCTTTGGTGTTTTTCTACATGATACCTATAGCTTTTGTGCAATCCCTTGCAAATTTAGAGGGTCTTGAGAAAGTTGCTCCTTTCCTTAGGCCGGTCATAGAACTGTAAGTGGTGTAATTGTTTCTTCATTTTGTGAATTGTCTTGTTTCATGTCAGATTGCATTGAAGCTTTACAGATGTAACTTTCTCTTAATTTTAACATTGTCGAATCTCTTTTAACATATTTAAAGAATTTATATTTATTCTTCGCTTATTGTAATTATTATTTGCTACATGATGTTCGTATCATTATTTCATTATCTGTGCATATTTCTTTGAATTATCTATGCTTCATTAGTATTTGAACCTACTGTCAACAATTTAACTTGATGATTTTGGTCTTTACATCTCTACTGTGTTATAGAGGACTGGGGATCATTAATATGTTTTGTTATGTTTACTACTCATTTCTATATACATGAAATTAAATGACATTTTAATTATGCATCAATTTATATGCCTTTCAAGATTTGGAGTACAAATAAGGTAGTGTCTTGACCTCCTCACTAAAAATCTAATTTTGCACAGGAAATTCATCAAGTCATTCCTACAGGGTTTCCTTCCTGGTCTTGCACTTAAAATCTTTTTGTACGTGCTACCAGCGGTTTTGATGATAATGTCAAAAATCGAGGGATATATTGCACATTCAACTTTGGAGCGCAGAGCAGCAGCAAAGTATTATTACTTTATGTTAGTGAATGTATTCTTGGGGAGCATAATAGCTGGAACGGCATTCGAGCAGCTGGATGCTTTCCTTCACCAACCACCAACCCAGTAAATTCTCTATCTCTATGATTTTAGCTTTTGTAGTTTCTATATTTGAATAATTTGTTATAGGTTGTGGATAATTTGGATGAGCTAGTAATTTTGTGATTGAAGTTTGGTTGACACTTCTCCAAAAATCGCATATGTGATCAGCACATGCATAATCTTAATAAAAACCCAACTGAATTTAATTGATAAAATTTTATGTTTAGAAATGCTGACTGTGATGGGGTAAGTGCATATATAGAAATTGAGTTGTAGGTTTAACCTTCTACCTTAAACATTGACAAGCACCAATTATGCTAAGCAAAAACATGGAACATAATATATCAACGTAATTGTATTACAACTAGTTCTGTTATGCAACATAAGAGATAATAGGTTTTATGTCTCCTAATGTAATATTATCATATTCTTAAATTGTATCATGAAAAGGAACCATATATTTCAAAGTTTTTACTCATTGTTCTCCAATCTTTATCTCTGTCTGTTCCATTCATGGTTTTATAAGAAATTAATCTACTGCAGGATTCCTAGAACTATTGGGGTTTCCATACCAATGAAGGCTACCTTTTTCATTACATATATAATGGTTGATGGATGGGCTGGTATTGCTGGAGAGATTCTCAGATTGAAGCCATTGATCATATTTCATCTTAAGAACATGTTTTTGGTGAAGACTGAAAGAGACAGAGAAAAGGCCATGAATCCTGGTAGTGTAGATTTCCCAGAGACTCTCCCAAGCCTCCAACTATACTTTCTTTTGGGAATCGTATATGCTGTGGTTACTCCAATACTGCTTCCCTTTATTCTAGTGTTCTTTGCTTTCGCATACTTGGTTTACCGTCATCAGGTCAGTATATTCAGGGTTCTTGATTACTTATTTATTTATTTTACCTTTATACTATGTTTATTAGAATTACATTACTTGCTGGCATCTGAAAGTAGATGAAACATTATCTTTGAATTGACCCGAGCACATTTGCTTTGTGACTTTAGATTGGCCAAGGTTTGGAACCCATAACCATTTGATGCTTGTGATTGTAAATAAGATGTTCTAGAAAGCCAGCGATTTTGGTATTATCTAAAATCCTTTGGTTGGATTTGAGTCTTAGAAATCAATAACTAGGTTACTTAAGGTATCTCAACTTGTTCCCATTGTGGTTTAAGTGGCGTGGAATGTTTCTCTATTTACTTGGTAATTCTTTCCCCTACAAGTTTAAATTGTCAGTATCTGTCGATTTATGGAATCCACACAACAACTTTTTTAGATTTACTTCAAACTTCGACCCTCTGGTGTTTGATATTATTGCTGTTATACTCCTACGATACCCTTTAAATGTTTTCTAAACATTAGTTTTACTGTTGGTTTGTATTTCTACTTAATGTTGCAGATAATCAATGTCTACAATCAACAATACGAGAGTGCTGCTGCATTTTGGCCACATGTTCACAGCCGTATAATCGCAAGTTTATTGATATCTCAACTTTTACTTTTGGGCTTGCTTAGTACAAAAAAAGCAGCCAATTCCACTCCTTTGTTGGTTATCTTGCCCATATTGACATTATCTTTCCACAAGTACTGTAAGAGTCGCTTCGAACCTGCATTTAGGAAGTACCCTCTTGAGGTAAGTTTTGTACATTGCAAGAAAAGAGATTTTTGAAAGTTTCATTAAATTAAATGAAATCATTTTTTTGCTTTCAGATTTAAATTTATCATTTGAAAAGAGGCATGGAATATGTTTGTTTTCAAATACTGATCCAACTGTTTCTTCTTGGAACTACTTCAGGAAGCCATGGAGAAAGACATATTAGATCGAACTACAGAATCTGATATAAACCTGAAAGCATACTTGGCTGATGCATATTTGCACCCAATTTTCCACTCATTTGAGGAAGAAGAGTCGGTAGAGGTGAAGGTTGAAAGAAACAAATCGCATACTGCAAGCGATCCAACCACCGAAATCAACCCTCCCTCTCCACCACATCAAGTCAACCATCCTTTTTCCCCACCGCATTACATGTATCACCCTTCGTCTCCACCTCAGCATGTCTATGAGCCTTCTTCTCCATCCCATTATGCCTATCATTACGAAAATGATACCTATCATCCTCCCTTTCCACCCCATTATGCCTATCATTATGAAAACGAGCCTTGATATTATGGAGGTACTAATCTACAAGTTCAATTGCTAGCCAGTTTTTGTTTTTATTTTTCTCTAAATCACTAATTTCCACGGTTTCATTTAGAATGTGTAGCTTTGTTCCCATTGTAATTACTGGTTTGTCAATGTAATCACTAATAGCTTATGGTGTTTTCCTGAAATATGACTGGAAATTCCACAATGCTGTATGTTTAAGTACTCTTGAGAAATTGCAGATATAATAATTGTGTAGGGCAGGCGTATAAAGCTAAACCTGTTTCTTATTTATTTATGTATTCATTTATTAGGGTTATCCTTCTGCAAAGCTGTCTGTTGGAGCATGTGTGATTGTTCTGTTGTGAAATGTTATGCGAGGCAATGGCCAAATGAGAAGGCACTCAAGGTCGAGTGAGACCTGGGGGCCAACGTTTGGTTCCAGCATCCCAAACTACCATGCACATGCGTGCTTGCAAATAGTCAATAGTTCTTCCGATACCTAGAACACGACATTCCCTCCTTTTCCGTGTTCAGCAAGTTTCACTTGTCTAAACACCTCAGTTACATGATAATTCAGTGTTGCTAGAGCATTTGTAGCTTAATTGATGGCACCTTTTTAAAGGGAAGATAATAAGTGGGATGTCAGCCCCAAATTATGGTACAATTTTATTGTAGTGTTGTTTTTTATAGTGTTTTGTTATTTAAATATATATTAAAATAATATTTTTTTATTTTTAAAATTTATTTATAATATTAGTATATTAAAATGATTTAAAAATTTATAAAAGATTAATTTAAAATAAAAAATAAAAAATAAAAAAATATATCTTTTAAAAAAATACGGTTTTACTGAGAGAACAAACACTATAACATTGCTTGGATCTAAGAACATGCTTTTAACTTCAAATTCGTATTCTAGTGGTTCAAAATTTTTCAGTTCTTGAACATCTGTTTTAGGCAGTAATCTGATTAATTCGATATCCCTTCAATCCCAACATTTTTTTGTTTTCTGGTTGTAGCCAAAAGAATCCACACTTTTGTTTAATTTTCTACTATATCTTTCATGCACATCACTTTCCCATCTATCCACACACACAATCATTAATGCTTAAAGGAACTAATTTATTCCTGGAAGCTAAAATACTTCAGATTGGCAAAGACTATTTTCTTTTTTAATAAATTTTTGATCTTTAACATTTGGAAGATGATCAAAGTGAGCATCATTATAAGCATGAAAAACATGCCTATGATATTCATGTAGCGTACAAGTAAGAGCATGCTGAGAATGGGTCACAATATATGCCAACTAAATCCACCAATATTTTTATCTTTTTTACGGTTGCAATATCAATATCAATTATAAAACATATTCGTTGGCATTGTAAGTATATTTAATTTTAATATATTTACAATTTATATTTAATTTAATTATTAATAAATGTTATATTTTGATGCAATTATAATTTAAATTTTTATATAGAAAAAGACTATAATTTATTATCATATATATATAGATGGATACAACTACATGAGCGAGTCCAGTTATACATGGTTCATGCTGGTTTTTTGGAAGTCAGTTGTCTTGACCACAAATTGATCCACGCACTGATTAAATGATAGAGATGTGAGACACACACATTCTATCTTAAACATGAAGAGATGACACCAACATTGCAAAACATAACAATTTTGCTTGGATTATGTATTGATAGATGGACAGTCATATCAACTGGTGTTTATGATAGAATTATGTTATACGAGTGATCACTTGGATTATCATTCCCTTTTTCTGAATTAAAAAAGGTAGCATACGTCTTAAATGGATTAATGAGACATTTTCGACACCACCAGATAATGGTGATGAGGAGATCTTAAGGAGGTACAAAATCAATTATCATTTAAATGTGCTGATTATTTATTATGACTGCGTTGATTATTATAATGATTTTAATTTGTTTGTAGGTATGCCGCTTCATATATTCTTTGTTTATTTGGTGGTGTGTTATTCACTAACCTCACAAGGAGATGTGTTCTTTTGATTTATACGATGCTTCTAAAAAAATTTCGATGTTATCCCCATATATAACTAAGGATTTGCTAGATTAACATTTTTGTATGGATGTTTATGTCTTATATGCATAAAGGGGGTCAAACAAGTCGAGGGATGTTTGCTACTTCTACAAGCATGAATGAAAAAAATATAAATAACTATTTAGATTTGAATGTTTTCATGCATAAAAAAATTAACAAAATATTTTTATTTAATAACAGTTATGGTCGTGAAAACATGTTCATGTAGGAAAGCCCATAATATGGAGAAGATATGACAATCCAAACAATTAAGGTTACACTTCATCTCTCACTAGGATGCATATATTGTGATGCTATTTTTACAATTATACATATTTATATTGTATTCTTGAAACTTTTTAAAATAGAATTAAACTGACATATTTTTTATGCTAGGAGGTGTGCTCGACGAGATTTTGAAAATAATCTAGCGTAGATGCTAGCATTTTATTAGACCGAGCTCGATAGGCTACAATCTATTCAAGTATTTTTTTGAACTATTTACTAAATAAAATAATTAACTTTATGTTGTTTGATATTTATTTAACTTATAATCTGCATATCATTTGGATGTCTTACTTGAAAGAAAGATTGGTCGTTACTCCAGTTGTTTGCAACAATGAGATGGATATATAGATAACAGTGATCCTGCTAATATGTTTTGAGATGGTTGAGCTATATTACCTAAATCGGTTAATGTGACAGTTCGACTATAAACAACACATTCCAATGAATATCTATACGAGCGATGCTTTGCATGTTATTACTTATAGGGGTAAAAATAATGATTATAATTGGTTTCACAGTGGAATACACAAAGAAATGAGATATTTACAGAGATTCATCCAGTAATTATTGATGAGGAGTATATGATTTGGTATATAAGTATAACATGTTGAATCAATACTCTAGTTCTCGAGGAAATTCCTCCACATAGATATATGCAGTAAAAATAACAAGCTTAGTGAATTTAACATCATGTAAGTAACAAAATCTTTTTATAATTAATATATGTTAACCGTTGAGTTTTACGTATTTATCTTTTAATTTAACATTAATATTTTATTAATATTAGACTAACTTCTTGTTACGGGAGGATCAAGAGGTTGTATCTCATCTTCATAGTATTGATGAAGAAAACAAAATTTATATTATAGAGGACTTGAAATATTTACCATATTGGACTTGAAATCTTTGAAAAAAAGCTAATTCTTGATCACTTAGTCAAGAATAAGAGCTAGATCTGGTCATGTTAATAATGAGCTCGAATCATCCAGTTGATGATGTAGATATAGATAAATAGATGAATTATGTTTATATATCTTGAGATTACTTGAAAATTATATTATTGAGTTATTTTATATTTATATATGTATATATATATTCTTTGCATTAACAGGCCACTCATAATTATGGAATATAAAAATATATTGAGTTTAATTAAAATTTGTTGATTTTAATTATTATATGTTTTTGCAATTTTGTCAAGGGAGATAAAATTTTAAATATAGTTTTTATATAAAAAAATCTATTGAAATCTTAATAAAATTAAAAATATTTCAACTCTTTAAAATCATAACACAAATAAAATTTTAAATTAACAAAAAATATAATTTTATTAATTTTTTTAAATTTAAAACACAAAAATAATTTAAAACCATTCATACGTATGGCATTTCACGTTGTAACCATTCATACGTATGACATTTCACGTTGTGAACCGTGATTTTTATCGTGATTCTGGAATTGTGAGATCCTGAAACAATGCTAACTTTTCGTATTGTGAGATCATGAAACAATGCTAACTTTTCGTATTCAATTATATTTTGGGTGACAAGTGACCGGTTATCCAAAACAGAGTACCGCTTTTGTGTTAACGCTCTGGTGACCTGTCTTGCCCCTTGTTTGATCTCCCTGGCCTCTGTACTTATAAATGGCTCCAGCAAATTACTAACATCCATTTCAATAATCACTCGACAGAACCCCAGATGGTGAAACTCACTGCCACCGCCTCAAAAACAAAGCTCCCAGAGTGGTACTCACCAGAAACAGGAATTTATAGCAGCAAACACCCTCCTATACCCTTACCTGCAGACCCATTTCTTGATGTTGTTTCTTTCATTTTTTCACACCATAACCATAATGGCCTTACAGCTCTTATTGATTCCTCTTCTGGGTTTTCAATCTCTTACTCAAAGATTCTACCTTTGGTGAAATCCGTTGCCTCTGGTCTTAGTAACATGGGCATTAAACAAGGTGATGTTGTTTTGCTTTTGTTGCCGAATTCCATTCACTTTCCCATTGTTTTCCTCGGTGTGTTGTATCTTGGTGGCATTGTCAGTACCATGAATCCACTTAGTAGTGAACTAGAAGTCAAACAGAGAATTATTGATTGTAATGCATGTATTGCTTTTGTTGAACTAGAAAAAGTTGGTAAATTTCAGCCACTGGGGATTCCTGTGATTGGTGTACCAGAAAACGTAAATTTAGATGAGAAAAGTAATGACTTTGAAGCTTTCTATACGCTAGTTTATAGTAAGGGTGATGTAGGTGTAAAGCCAGTGATTAGGCAGCAAGATACAGCAGCAATAATGTATTCTTCAGGTACTACTGCTGCTAGTAAAGGGGTTGTTCTAACACATAGGAATTTTATATCCATGGTTGAGCATTTTGTTAAATTTGAGGCTTCACAGTACGAGTATTCGAGTACGGATAACGTGTATTTAGCTGTTTTGCCAATGTTTCATATATATGGGCTGTCGCTTTTTGTTGCGGGATTACTGTGTCTGGGGTCTAGCATTGTTGTAATGAGGAAATTTGATGTCAGTGAGATGGTGAAGGTGATTGATAGGTATGGAGTAACTCATTTTCCAGTTGTTCCGCCAATACTGACTGCGTTGACAAGGACTGCAAAAGGTGTTTGTGGAAATAGCTTGAAGTGTTTGAAGTTGGTTTCATGTGGAGCGGCTCCTTTGTTTGGCAAAACCATACAGGATTTTGTGGAGGTTCTTCCGCATGTTGATTTCATTCAGGTATATGGATCCAAATTCGAAAGACTCCTTAGACTAGAAGCTTGACTTAGTTATTCCATTGTAGTCCCCGAGTAAGTTTTTCTGTTTTTCCTTTTTCTAGGCTGCAAATTGAGTAATTGGTCTGTCTGGAACAGAAGGCTCTGTTAGCTTGCATATGAGCTGCCCTCGGAAATTTTGGAGTTTTTTTCCCGTAATTAAAAATTAAGTTCTTTATAATTTGTTGGTTGAGTTCTTCAATAATTGAGGCATTAGTATTTATATTTAAGGGTTGCATTTTGACTGGCTTTGTTTTTATAGTCATGTTAGCTTCTTTGATTTTCAGAATTTTTGAGCTATGAAATTGGTTTATTTACAGGGATATGGCCTGACTGAGTCAACGGCTGTAGGAACCCGTGGCCTCAACACTGAAAAATTCCAAAAATATTCTTCCATCGGACTTTTGGCTCCAAATATCGAAGCTAAAGTGGTGGATTGGAGTACTGGAGCTCTATTGCCTCCTGGGGGATGTGGTGAGCTTTGGATTCGGGGACCTGGAGTTATGAAAGGTGATAAATTTTACACCCTTTTTAATCGCTTCAAGTACTTGCGATGCCAGAAATGCATATAAATATGCCCTACGACTGGAAAACAAATTAAACGCTACTCTTTATTCTCATTACCATAACTCTACTAGTTTGGTTTCTGTTGCTCATTTTGGTTCATTATTTTCACGTTAAACCCCAAGAAGTATCTGTCTTTATTGCTAGTGCTAGAAAATTTCAAGTTTAACTCCTCAATGGGCATTATATCGTTTTTCTACTTAGGATATTTGATGATGTCATCTATCATAGTGGGCTGGGCAAAGTAAATATTTGTATTTGTATTCATTGTTCACAGCCAAATGTCTTACCTTTTCTGTATTTGCGCCAAGTTGTTTGCCTTTTATTTTTGCTTATAAAGGAAAACAGTTCTTCAAAAACCTTGCCCCCTGGACTTTCAATTAAAAGCAGCCCATGCAACAACAGTTTCTTCATGCACTGTTCTCCTTTGATGATAAAAACCTGTAAGTTTTCATTTGCGGCCTTGGCCATCATCTTAATCAGTTCAGCAACCTCATATTTTGCCCCCCACCCCCCCCGACCCCCAACCCCACCCAAAAAAAAAAAAGAAAAAAAGAAAAGGAACCTCTTGCTGTGATCACCTAGCCGTTCCTCCCCATTTTGTTGCAAAACAAAGCGTGGCGTTTCTCTTTCTATTTTTCCTGAAAATGTTCTAAGTTAATTTGGTTACATCCCTGAAAATTTTCAGAGTATTTAAACGATGGAGAGGCAACTGCATTGACCATTGACAAAGATGGTTGGCTACATACTGGGGATGTTGTTTATGCTGATCATGATGGGTACTTATATGTAGTTGACCGCTTGAAAGAGATTATCAAGTACAAGGGCTTTCAGGTACAGATTACCATTCCATATCATACAACTTCCTAACGAAACTATTCATTTGAAATTGCAACGTAATGAAAGTGCTGGACTTTCTTGGCATGATAGTCAATCACACAGAGTTTTTGTCATGTGAAAAATCATAGATTGAATTCAATTCAATTTACTATTATTTTGTTGGGAAAATCTGATCAACTTTAACAGCATGAGAGCAGCTGTATATCGGTTATGCTAATTCCATATATAAATAGCGTTTGGAACTAAATAAATGTTGATTGACATAATTTGATATGATTGCAGTTTGTTGATTTGTATGTGACAATTTTGTCTCTTCTGCAGATTGCTCCTGCTGATTTAGAGGCTGTATTGATTTCCCATTGTGAGATACTTGATGCTGCTGTAATACCGTAAGTATGATGAGCTGAAAGCTCACAGCAATGTTAACTGCAGTAACAGTTGTAGAGATTAGTGTTATCCAAAAATTTCTAGGTGAAATGGCTGACATGTTTAGCATTTAAGCATCCATATAAATCAGTCATGGACATTCTTGAAACATAGTTACAGCTTCAGATTGTTGACATCCAAAGAGAACTTTTATAGCATATGTTACTACTAATTGTACTCATATTAGTCATTATCTCAGTCTCTACATGTCCCATCATTGCTCCTCCTGAATTTCATCAACTACGAATATGAACACATCATCATGATTTTTCAGTGTCGTCGATAAAGAATGTGGAGAGATACCAGTAGCGTTTGTAGTCAAGAGGCAGGGAAGCATGCTAACACAGGAAGCTATTATCAACTATGTGGCTGAGCAGGTAGTTTATTCTGACCTTATGGATTTCTTTGAACTCATGCACATACATTTACCCATATTCTCATAATCATGGCTCACAAATATGAACATACAATAGATTGTGTATGGAATTTTGGCTCTGTCCTTGATGGCCAACACTGAAGGTTAAATATATTTTCTTGTCAGGTCGCACCTTATAAGAAGGTTAGGAAGGTGATCTTTACACGATCAATCCCAAAGTCTGCAGCTGGAAAGATACTCCGGAGGGAGCTCAGGCGCTCCTTGACTTCTAAACTGTAAAGGGTCCTCTTTTCGCAAAGACCAGATTAGTTACAGCACGCAAATTCAGTTTAACACCGGGGTCTCAAATTTTGATCATAGCAATTAGAAAGAAAGTCCATTTGGCATGGCTTTTACAAATTTCATTGAGTTGTTTTTCAAACTCTCGACTAAAAAAATCATACCTGTGTTCGGTTTGAAATAATCAAAGACTTGAACCAGAAAGTTATTTTTAAATCCAAGTCAGAATTTTTTTATTTAGACTTTCAGCTCATTGATCCTAACTCACCATCTGTATCCTTCAAGGAAAAAAAAACGTTTTTGGTCTATTTTTGTCAAGAGAACTTCAAGCTTAAATTATTTTTATCGAAAATAACGACCCCAGTCGCTCATTTGTTTTCATGTTTTTGTAAAATTTCAAATTAATTTTTTTTAATATTTTTAAATCATTTAGTGGTGATGATGTCAAAAAAATAAAATTTAAAAATAAAAGAAGTATCAAGCAGGGAAGAGGAAAAATCCAAGGGATAAAAGGGCAGTACTCTCACGATCTTTTTTCATCAAACAATTCTTATCTCCTTCTCTCAATCCAACCACCTGCAATATAGTGACAGTAGTGGTTGTTGTCGTTTATTTGAGTCCATAAATCTGTGGAAGAGAAAATGTGCAATTTTAGATTATTTATATGTATTTTGAAAATTAGGAAAAGCTTCCTGTCATATTGATTTTGCAAGTTAAAAAAAAAAAAAAAAGAGGGGGCCGGGGAGTTGATCTCAAGAGAAGGAAACTGCATGGAAGGTTCCTTCAAACCGTGCTCGTTCGGAGATGGTAGATTTGTAGCTTATTGCTCACACACCTTCCCCTGGTCATCAAGATCGTTACAAAGAAGTTAAGGAATTTTCCTGTTCTTATAAATAAATAAATAAATAAATTTTGTTTTCATATTGGCACGTAAATGATTGATTATTTTTTAATACAACAAACTTAATTGTGGAAAACCCGGGTCTCTATCCGTGATAATGAATTATAATTATGGATGCATCTTGATTGTCTGGGAATGAAAACGTAGTAGAGGTTGAAGTTTATGCTTAGAATCTATATAAAAAAAAAAATACATGGAAAAAAAAATGCTTTTTATTGATGCGATTTGTACATAATCTCAATTTTTACCTTATTTCTAAACACATTCTAAAGCAATCCTGCCATGGACGCTACAAGCCTATGAAAAATTCCCGGGAAAAACCGGTAGTATTCGTTGTAGGAAAAGAGGGAGCCAATCTCATCTTCTTAGAAACCAACCTTGTTTTACGTCCATACAAAAAAAAAAAAAAAGATAAACTAGAGCATCATTTTTTTTTTGGTAAGTTGACGTATATATTAAAGAGAAGAAGAAAAACAAAAGGAAAAATAAGAGCTCTCCTTCTAGCTCTTCCCATGGCTACTCCTTTAGTCGCTCATTCCGTTCTACTCTGTCATCACCACTCAAAACAATATCCTTTCAAATCGCAATCACGTGTCGATAGGGATTTCCGTACGAAAACACTACTTGGTGTTTACAATGGATTCCAAAATGTATATAACCAATCTTATTTTCATAAGCCTTGGGCACCCATTAGAGTTCTTGAGCCTAATTTAAGGTTCTTGCAAATGGGTCCTCAAGAAACCTGCTCTAGTCGACGAATTTCCAAGAAATCTATGAGCTCAGAAGGCAGTACCAGTAGTACTAGCTCTTCATCTATTTCTCAACAGGTTAGTATAAAGGTTTTACTGTTTTTCTTTTTTGCACTCCTTTTTAATTTTTCGATGCTTTCCTGTTTTGTATGATTTCTACTAATTGGTATCGAGTTGTCGCATTTAATTAAGCTGATGCCACTATTTGATTTACCTTCTTTTTATATTGATTGCATAAGGTGATTGGGATCTTGCATTTGCTTGTTTCACTTGGGATTATCCTTGCAATGGATAAGTTGTTGAAAAAGGCATTTGTGGCTGCTGCTATTAAGTTTCCAAGTGCTCTATTTGGCATGTTCTGCATATTCTCAGTTTTAGTCATTCTTGATATAACTATTCCGGCTGCTGCAACAAGCTTAATGAACTTCTTTGAGCCAGCACTGTTATTCATTCAGAGATGGCTTCCATTGTTCTACGTTCCATCATTGGTTGTTTTGCCTCTCTCTATTAAAGATATCCCTGCTGCATCAGGTGTCAAGATTTGCTTCATCACAGGTAAAATGAAGCTTTTTGTTGATTCATTGCTGTTCACTCACTAAATCTTTAATATAGTTGGCTTAATGAATAAAATGTCACTATGAATTTGTGAGAGTCACACATAATTAATGTTATCTATTGAAATCACGGAAATTACTGCAAGCTCAAAAGCTAAGATAACATAGAATCTCCTTCATTCTCCTTATGTTTCAAGTCTTTTGTTGACCATTTCATTATTCATATCTTCGATTCCAATGGCCACCATTTTTTTTCTCACTTTGGTCATTATTCTTATACCATCCAGTCAGCATTCCCATGTTTACTTCCATTTTGGTGGGACTATTTTTCAAGTTGTGTTTGCAATAATAATAATGATACAAATGCTTTCTAATAACTGCAGCTGGAGGGTGGTTGGCGTCACTTTGTGTGGCGGGTTTTACAGCTATTGCTGTGAGAAAAATGGTGAAGACAGAAATGACTGATGCTGAGCCTATGGCGAAACCCTCTCCTTTTTCTCCATTGGAAATGTGGGCTTGGAGTGGGGTCTTCCTTGTATCATTTGTTGTCGCCTTATTATATAGAACGGCATTGGGGACTGCAGCCAGAACATGCCTTCCTTTCCTACTAGCATCCACCGTGCTAGGCTATATGGTTGGTTCTGGGTAAAATCTCAGTTTCCTCAGATTAGCAACCTCTGTGTTGACAATTGTTTTTCAGACCAAATTGAGGAGGAAAGGAATTGTTGCACACATTCATTATAATTGTAGCCCAGTTAAAAAATCATGGCTTTACTCATCTGGTTTTCAGGTTACCATCTGGTGTTAAGAAGGTTTTCCATCCCATTATTTGTTGTGCACTATCTGCAGATTTGGCAGCGTTGGCCTTTGGGTTCCTTTCCCAATCCGGACTTGATCCCGTTCTAGGTACCACTTTTCAAAGTTTTTGGTGTCTTCGTTTAGTTCACTCATTTTCTGATGTGGAGCAACAACAAATGACATCAATTGTTACTACAAAATGCCCGTATTATTTTGTTCCACAAGCCATCTGTTGCTTTTCATTTCTATCATATGTGTTAGTTTCCATTATGTATTATGTTTCCTGCTGCTACATATAGTGTTAGTAGAGAACAAAACCTGGAGGGGCCATTTCAGGCAGTTTCATTGAGGTATTTCAAACAAAGATGGACCAGATATTACAACTTCTTTTGTGAAGTTGTTTGGTGTATTTTTGGATAGCATAAAAATCAATTTTTATCTTGTCCAAAGCTATTCTAGTAGAGAAAATTGTCTCATTAGAAGGGGTAGGACAACCTTGTCTAGTTCCATGTATAAGAATTAACTTGGGTTGATCCGAATCAACATAAAAAATAGTTATTGTTATTGTTATAGTTTTAAACTTGATTAGAGAGTTGGCTTAGAGTAAAGTTTGGGTTATGGATTAGGTTGATTATTGACTTAAATCAATGTAAGAATAAAACTGTTTATTATCATAGTTTTAAAACTTGATTCGGGGTAAAACCGAGGCAAAGCCCGGATCACGGGTTAGGTTGACTATTGATCTAGGTCAATGTAAGGATAAAATTATTGTTATCATAGCTTTAAAACCTGATTAGAGGGTTTACTTAGGTCACAGGTTAGGTTGACCATTAAGCCGAGTTAACGTAAATATAAAAATAGTTATTATTACAATTTTAAAACCCGATTTAGGAGTTGACCTGGGGTAAGGCCTAAATCATAGGTTGAGATGATTATTGAACAAGGTCAATGTAAAGATAAATTTTTTTATTATTATAGTTTTAAAGTTTAACTAGGAGGTCAACCTGGGTAAAGTTCCGGTCACAGGTTGGGCTGACCATTGACCCAGGTCAACATAAGGATAAAGGTAGTTTGAGTCATGGGTCAGGTTGACCATTGATCTCGGTTAATGTAAGGATAAAAATAGTTATTATCATAGAATTAAAACTCGACTAGGAGATCAACCCTAGATAAGACCCATGTCATGGGTTAAGATGGTCAACTCGTTTTGACCCAAGATAATATAAGAATAAAAATAGTTATTATTAAAGTTTTAAAATTTGACTCGAGGGCCGGTTTGAGTCATGGGTTGGGAGGGTTAATGCAAGAATAAAAATGATTATTATTATAATTTTAAAATTAAATTTAAAAGTCGATCCAGAGCAAGGCCTGAGTTATAGGTTGGGATGGTCAGCTTGGGTTGACTTAGGTCAATATATGAATAAAAATAGTTATTATTATAATTTTAAAACCTAACCTGGGAGTCGACTTGAGGTAAAGTTTGAGTTATAAAATGAGAGGATCAACCTAAGTTGACCAAATATTCTTTTTTAAATATCAGAACAACCTTGTTTTATTAAAAAAAATAAAAAAAGTCAAAAGGATTTCTTACCCTTGTTTTATCTTGGGTCGCAAGTCGACCTGATTTTTTAACCGAGTAGGGTCAGATCAATTGTTTTTATATTTTTTCTCAAACTTATACTAGTTTAATTTTTGTGTCAACTGGATCTCATCCAATATTTACCAAACACAAAATAAAATAAATTGTCTAGTCCAATTCAGAGCACACTAAATATAAAATAAAACAATTATTTATTGAGTTCAGTCCAATCAATATTGTCTAGTATACCAAACACTACCCTACCACTCATAGCCTTTCGCTCATAGCCTTTGTGCAAAATGTTGATGGACCTCTTGTGCTAATACTGTTTTGTCAATTATAAAATCTGGTTATTTATGATCTAATGATGAACACTTCTATAATTCAAAACTGAAGTTAACTGAGATTTAGTTTTACAAATATTTTGGACAACATTTCTTAAATTTCAGGGATGGAAATCTTAAAGTTCAAAAGCTGTTTTGATCTAGTTTCTGTTGGAATTCAAATCACATACCATGCGACTCCCTCTTTTTTCCTCCATCCTTCTCTATGGTCACATTTTTTTCATTAAGGTTTTCCATATCTATTTTTAAGCTCATTTTCTGTACTTCCTCATTGTAATTATGGTAATTTTCTTCCAATGCAAACAGGATATTACCTTACAAAAGTTTCATCCAATCCTGGAGCTGGTGATGTGTTAATGGGATTCTTGGGATCTGTCATTCTTTCTTTTGCTTTCTCAATGTTCAAGCAGAGAAAGGTAACTTCTTTTCTCACAATCCATGCCAACAGGCCGGGTTCATTTTGTATTAAGTGGATATATTTCATATGTGCTGTTACTCAGGAAGGACTAGCGGTTCCTTTTATTTAATTGTAACTATTTGGTGTTGCCACCCAAACTATCTGCTATAAATTATTTTTTTTCATTTGGTAATGGAAGACAATGCGTTTGAAATTCTGAGTAGAGAATAAGCAATGAAAAACCTCAAAATATTTAGACCTTGCAAGAATCTAGGAATCTAGAATATTGCATCTACCATTATATGAATTTATCCTCAGTAGTATTCTATGTATGCTTTGTCACTACATGGTTTGTTGTCCTCGATTCAGAATAATAAAAATTTGTCATCAGATGATGCTCTTAACTTACTGGTCCTTCTGTCATGGTAATGTGAGTTGATATACTCTGGTGCTTCTGCAGCTTGTTAAGAGACATGCAGCTGAGATTTTCACGTCAGTCATTGTTTCAACACTATTTTCATTGTATTCAACGGCTCTCGTGGGACGCCTAGTTGAGTTAGAACCAACATTGACTGTATCCATTATTCCCAGATGTATAACCGTGGCATTAGCCCTCAGCATTGTGTCATTCTTTGAAGGTATAGTAATGTTCAGAACGCTACAGTGGAAGCAGGGAATTCCATAAATGGACATCCACTTGTGATGCTAAAATTAAATTTTGCCATATCAAACACCATTATTCATTTCCAATATACTTAACGACTTTTGGTCAGTTAGAACACAATGTACTGCAGATGATTGTTGTGACTCATTACCATTTTTAATCGAATTAATTTTACATATTGGTTGTAGGTGCCAATTCATCTCTCACAGCTGCTGTAGTTGTTGTAACTGGTCTCATTGGAGCAAATTTTGTACAAGCAGTGCTCGATAAATTAAATTTTCTTGATCCCATTGCTCGAGGAATAGCAACTGCTTCCAGGTTTGTGGTTTACCAAAGACAAATCAGTACGAACTCAAGCACTAAACAATCTTTGCAAGCATAGACCCTTCCCTTTCTTTAGTAAATATAATGATGTGTCATATCAGCTATAGGCAACTATCTTTCTCATAGCTCACCTGTATAGTTTTCTTTCAGGGGACTGCAACAAAAATGCATCTGGGACCTATAATTTGTGCTAACAAAATGCTTGCTGTTGGCCAGAAACTGGAAACTGAATCTCCTGGGGAACTTAAAAATGGTTAATAATTAAGCTTTGTAATATGTAGAAAATTCTGAATGTCACTGAGATTCTTACTGCTGAATCTTATAAAAATCAAAATCATTTTAGAATTGGACTAGTCAATGAAAGGAGATCTGTGTTTTTCTGTTTTGGTTGAATATTTTAGTCATTTTGGTTATAGCCTATAAAAACAAAACCGTGGATTGAAAATAAGAAGAAAGATAGGATGCTAAAACTTTGCTCACTGAATTGGACTTGATGCACAATCTTGAGTTATGCTTTAAAAACCTTACCCAAGTTTGTTTGTGACTTCGGGTATAGTCACAGCTTGTGATGCTCAGATAAGCTCAGTTTACCTGTTCTGTTCAAGAGTGTACAACCTGAAATGCTCAGTCCTGAGTATTATATTCATATCCTACTTTAGTTTTCCTGTGTGAAGATTTTGCAAAGTTTTGTAGGAACTGTGCAAAATTACTGCATTTATGCTTATCCTTCTTAATTGTTTCAGTGCTCATGGACTGGGAACTGCAGCATTGTCAGCCAAGGAACCTGAGGCACTTCCATTTTGTGCCATTGCTTATGCTCTCACTGGTATATTTGGTTCATTGTTTTGTTCAGTTCCTGCAGTTAGGCAAAGCTTACTTGCAATAATTGGCTGAAAGATCGGCAACTTTTGGTTATTGGTGGCCAGACACTTTTGATTGATTATCCTTGTCCACCCACAGCATGATTTTTAGCAAGTACACAGTGCTAATAGCCAACCTTGTATTATTGATTACAGTCAATTATGTATAGAAGTTGGCATCATCCTTCTGCAAAAACTCCTCACCTCCTTTAAATTATGAATAGTGAACTGATTATCTTCTTGTTAGAAGGTGGTCAGCTGGCTGAAAAGCATAAGCTAAATGTCAAAGGTAAATTATCTATTCTACACCTTGAGAGGGTGGAAAATCCAGTGGATACCAAAGAAGCCACTGTTGCTCAGAAAGAAAATCTCCATCATTTGACCTTGAATTGGAGAAAATATGGTGAATCTGAATCACAAGAACATGCTGAACAGGCACTTGAATCTCTTGAACCTCATCCAAATCCTAAGCAGTTGAAGATAGAAGGATATAAAAGCATTCATTTTCCACATTGGATCTGAGAGCCAATCCTACTTGATAATTTGGTTTCTGTTGAGCTATCTGATTGGGATAATTGTGTTAGATCTTCCGCCACCAGGGATGTTACATGCCTTAAGGAATCTAACATTTTCTAGAATTAACAAAGTGGAGTACGTAGAGAAAGAATATCATTGTGGAGGGGCACTGAGAAGATTTCCATCCCTGCAAACACTCAAAATTGAACATTTGCCAAGGCTGGAAAGGTTTTCAGAAGATAACGAAAGAGAATTGCTCCCAAATCTCACTAAGTTGACAGTCTCTGATTGCTACAAATTATCATCGCTGCCATTGTCACTTGTTTCACTTAGAAAGCTAGATACAAAGCATTGCAATGAGGATTTATTGGATTCAGTTTCATATCTTAGCACCCTCACTTCCCTTGTGCTAGGATACTTGGATGAGGTGACATCCTTTCCGCATAGGATGCTGCAAAACCTTGCTGCTCATCAAAAATCACAAATTCTATACCTCAGTTCCCTCCAACGGCTGATGATTAGTCAATTCCTTGAGCTGGCTGCTTTGCCAGATACTGTTGAACACCTTATCTCCCTCAAGGATTTGTGCTTAGATGGGCTTGACAAGTTAAGAATCTTGCCTATGTCGGCATGGTTCGCTTCAGTGCACTGCAGTATCTAAAAATAACTGGCTGTCCCAGCTTGGCATCATTGCCAAAAATCATGAGGAAACCTGACATCACTACGAGCTTCAAAAATCTGGGGTTGCCCAAAAGCTGGCATCTCTTCCAAAAAGCATCAGGAATCTCACCAACCTTAAATATTTGAGTATTTCATTCTGCCCTGACCTCATGAAACATGGTGAAAAGCAAACAGGAGAGGACTGGTGTACAAGAATTGGGTAGCCCACATTCAAGACCTTGATTTGCACTGCTAGCTATCATTATAGCTGTGAGTCATACTGTAACTGCAGCCTGCAGGGGTATATATGTCAAATAACATTATTTTATTTATGTATTTATTTGGATAACATTAGCCTGTCTTATGGTAGAAAGATCGAATTCCTCGTGAGATTTTAGTGCGCCATTTGCTAGTAAATGATGATTATGCACTTTCATTTTTATTAAAAAAATATAAAAAAAACCACGCAAGGCCTCGACCAGTCCATGCACCCAAAACCATTATTATTATTTTTTGACGACAAATTTAAGTGGTATTTTGTGAAATAAATATTTAGTCAAACGTTAAAATACTCTATGAAACACTAGTACGGGAGGGAATATAAATTGAAACAAATGTTAACACATAAAATCATGCAAACATAATTTGCAAGGATGAAATTGAAAAGAAACTAAGTGCAATGACCAATCTGTACAATGTTACATTTTCAGGGACCAAGAACAGTTGGGTTAACATGTTAATGTGAGAAAACTAACAGTGAGGCGACAGCGAGTCTCGGTTTTCTTTGTGTCTACAGTGTTAGTGTCAGTTTTAAACTGTCTTCAAGTTAACTTTACGAGTAATCTGTTTTTTCAGAGCTTGAACTCCACTGCATGGTGGCTACATTGCTCTTCCTTTTAAGGTACTGTGCTTTATTTTCCTTTATGAAGTAATGTGGGGTTCGCATTATGTTTCTGTCTTGAAAATCCTTGCCTTGGGGTCTCACTATGGTGCCTATCCTAATATTCTCTGTAGGAGCTTTGATCATGCATTTTTCTCTGCTCATTCATGAATATTGGGCTCCTTCGCTCGTTCTATTCTGTCTTTTCTAGCAGTGAACTTGCAAGTTATTTATGAAATTGGATCTGTTTTCGCATATGCTGTGATTTATTCTAGAAATGACGAGGTATTTCTTTTTAGATTTTCATTGGAAAACATCACAGTGAAAGAAAATTTGTGCGGTGCAATATATCCTCAGATGGTTGAGAATTCTGCAATTCCTACCATACTAATTCAATATGCTTTTCCATAATTAGTTTGGCTGGTCTGGTTTAGAATCTTACTTGATGGTTTTGATGATGAGGGAATGAATTCTGGCCTGAATCAGCCAACTCTTCTTAATGTTATTCTATCTGTTCCCTATCCTTCAGCAACATCTATGTATGGATTATAAGTGGAATTTGGGCTGACATAGATGCCTATAGCAGTTGAGCGCCAGGTTTTGATTTGCCCGAGCTACCTCCTGACGCACGTGTTAATCCAGTGGTTATGAAGATGGGGACATACTCTTGAAACCATGTGATACCAGAAGCAAGCACAGCGGCATCAGTTTCACATTTTCCTGGTTTTATCCCGGATGGTTCTTCTCTGCACCGAAAACAAATTCAGGTCCTGACAGAACTCAGAAGGATCCACAACCAGGTGTTCCAGTTGCTTCCATCCGTTCCATATCTCCAGCTGAGCTAGCTAAGAGAAACAACTCACGAACCAAGCCCAGAAAGGCTAGGAAACAGAAGTCTGCTGACAAGAATTCTAATCAAATTCCACCCAAGGTTTTGGGGCCAAAGCAACCCGAGAAGAAATCTTCCAAGAAGACGAATGGACAAATCAGACCTGAATCAAAACGTGAGAAAAAGAATCTTGATATCTGATGGGCCATGGTTTCTCAAATCAACCTGGAGATAATGCACAAGATTTATAATCCAAAGGGAAACTATGTTTTTTCGAGTGTGAAACCTAGGTTGGGCTGTGACATAGCCATGCTCCATTCCAAGTTGAGTTAGTATACATCTATGTCCGGCCACATTTTGGGCTGGAGCACAATCATGCCTTACTTTATGTTGGGCAGGGACGTATCCATACCTGGTTTCATGTTGGGTCTGGTTGTGTCCACGTCTAATTTTATATTAGATGCTAATGTAACCATGTTCAACTTATATTGAATTTTGGCATGTCTGCATCTTGTTTTCTTCTAGGCTTCAAGCGCGAATTGAACTTAATATTCCTCAAATCGGGTATGGAATTGAAAGGTTACTTGGTATTGAGCCTCTCATATCCAGAACCTGAATTAGTAATTATAATGCTCATTATAATCCAATTAAAGACATGTTTAGTATTATGTTTCAAAAACGCTTTTCAAAAAATTTGAATTTTTTTTTTACTTTGAATTAATATATTTTTAATATTTTTAAATCATTTTGATATGTTAATTTCTAAAATAATTTTTAAAAAATAAAAAAATTATTAATATATTTTTATAAATAAAAAATACTTTAAAAAAAAACTATAACTACATTTTCAAACACACTTTAAATATAAATAAGCCATATATATTAGTACAATCAGTAAGATAATTATCTTACTAGTACAAGATTACTTTTCCACCTTTTTTTACATTGAGACAATAAAAATGAAGTAATATAAAAGAAGGGAAAAAGGAGAGGAAAGGGGACTTTTCTCCTCTCCTCACTTTCAAATTTTCATCTCCAACTCTTTTTATATATTGATAAATACTCTTCAACATTTCCATTAATATCTTTATTAATGTTGTTCTTCACGTAAATATTCCTAGTACTAACTTGATTTTTCAAGGATTCTCCATCCACAACTCTCGGTGGACTTTGTACAGGCATTTTTTCCACCTACAGAAGGATTTGCTCGAGAAAAAGCTTGTGTGGTCTTAAAGTGAATTCCATTCCCTATGATTTTTATAAGCTCAATTCACCATAAATGATATCAGGGAATTCCTAGAAATAAATCATCCTAAAACATTCCCTATGATTTTTATAACCTCAATATCGATATTGGCAAAACAAAGTTCGATTTATCTGGTGTTCCTTCTCCATTTTGGTCTTGTACAGGTATGCCAAGAGTTTGTTACAAATGGGGTGCTGGTGGATGGCAATCTTTGTGTTGCACGAATAGCATATCTGAGCACTCTCTTCCCATGACTTCATTAGGCCTGGTGTTCGCATGGCTAAGAGGAAAATGAGCAATGGAGCATATGTGAAACTTATTCTGAAACTGTCAGCCGAAGGTTACGATCTTTCTCATCATCTTGACTTGAAGGACCACTGGGCTAGACATGGCACTGACAAGTTTGTTACAATCAAAAAGAGATCTGGAATGTTGGAAGCTAAATTGCCAGCATACCTAATTCCCAACCTTCCACGGGTAAGTTGTAGAGTGTTGTTATATCAAAAAGAGATCTTGATTTTCTCGACTTTTTCCTTTTGATCTGTTATAATAAGCTAAACGCAAGATGGCGATGGAAGTGGATGTCATTTCTCTGCCTAATGATGTCATTTTCGTTTTATTTCCAACAACTCGCAACTTTACATGATAAATGAAGCCCATCCTACACCCTCGGTTTCCCAAAGAGATTTTGGCAGTGTCCTTAACTCCAAAATCTGCTAAATTGAATCTGACACAAGGGAAAACCGGTTTGGATAAGGCCTTTTGCTTCTCTTTGCTTGAGGGATCGAATTTGTTTGTTTCTCTTTTGCAACCCTTACATAAGAACATTAATGCTGTCCTTTCAGAACTTCAAAGTAGTACATGCTTCTCGCCATAACTTATTTCATTTAGCTTTCTTTCCAGCTTAAAATGCTTCATAGTTACAAGAAAGGATTTGATGATTTGCTCTTTCACTTAATCTCACTGAAAAGGCAATCGTGTTAAAGATGGCTCTGCATTCGATTGCTTCCCTACTGAAATACCACAACAATATATAAATGCTGTCTCTGAAAAGGCAATCATTCCCTACAGAGATTCGATTGTCGAATCTCAACCGAGACTTTTTTTTACTGTCTTGGGAAATCAAACTATATCAGTACACACACTCGAAAAGGGAAGGCCAATGATACTTTGCTAACTTCACGCCATGTCACTTGACTTCCTGTTCTCTTACATTTCCTTTGCACATTGAAGGGGAAAGATAAAAACCATGCATTTTCATTAGGCCATTCATGTTCCAAGAAGAAAATAGAGCACAAGCAAATCACCAATATTAGTGGCTAAATAGGTGATACAAAAAGGAAAAAGCAGTGCAGGAACTTGAAAGAAAATAATGCCAAAAGGTTCTGATCTTCTATGAAGTTTCTGAAATGAATTTCATCTGTTTTTTATTCTCTATATTATACAGATCTCCATAGAAATATAACACCAAATAGATACAGAGTGTTCTCAACATCTCATTCTTATGAGGACCGACCTATCACTGAATTGAAGCACGAAAGGACGTTGAAAAAGAGAAACTGAAAGAGAGGGTAACTTTAGAGAATGAGTGCCTTGTTCATTATGTAAATTAGGCTTTTGTGGCTTCTACTGGGGTTTTGGCCCTACTGGCAACAATTTGCTCGAAGAGGTCTCTTATTTTCAATCCAACGATTGTCTGAAAGAGACCTGTTCCGTTGTTGCTGCCAGGGAAATCAGCATGCTTCAACATCTGCTGGGTGACTTCTCCATAGAACTTGGTAGAGATGTTACTTAGATGGCTTTCGACATAGATGAGCTCATCTAATCTGTCAAATTGCCCATCCATTTCCAGTACAGACACCTGAGAACGAACAAAACAAAACAGAGTATAAATAACAAAATATTAAACTGTAGAAATGGAGCTCATTGTTTTCTCAGACCAAAGAAAGAATCTATGGATCCCTTCCTGCATCATTATAACTAAAAAATCAACTCCGAAAGATTCTTACTTCTCCAGCATATTCTTAAACAGGTCAAATCTAAAGCATATTTAGAACTTTAGACCAGATACCTCATGGCCGTAGTAAGCGTCGGGCCCATAGGAGAATTTGATGCCAGGGTAAGAGCAGGTGAGCTTCCTACCACACGGGATCCATGAAATAGAAGAGCCTTCATCAAACAAGTAGACAGGGCTGAAAAATTTCACCCCTTCTTTCATGATCAGCTTAACTCTTAAAACCTTCCCCTCGTTGTCGTCCGGAATGAGTTGGGTTGGCAGCACTTCAATGACTGCATCAGCATATTGCTTTTGTGGATCTGCAAAGTGAGAAAAAAAAAATTGAAATAATCATGCATTTGGATAGAAATTTTAGGCTGATAAAAAAGCAGATGTATATTAACAATTGGTAATATAATCTTTTACGAGTTTGAAGGAACTACCAATATAAGCATCAAAATCTGGCTTGCGTGCTTCAATACTAGCTTTAATGCTTTCAAGACTGTGTCCTCGCTCAGCCATATCCCTCTGCAATCAGCACGACATCTTTAGTTCACAAGAAATGGATAAATGGTGGCCACTGATATAAAGAAGTTGGAAAGATGGATTTATAGAGGGAGTCACCTGAATTTTCCATGCAAATTTAACCTCGTTGCTAATGTCCAAGTAGATACTGAAGTCCAAGAGGTCCCTCACACGTTGGTCATACCTACATGTTTGCATAGATGGTGACAATCAGTCCAGGCTCTTGCAAACAGATCTTACTCAATAGATTGTAATAAATTGCATCACTCTTTCCTGTGCACATTCGGGTTTTGTCTAGTATAATAGCCCTATATTGTTTTGGACGGATGAGCCCTTCATCGACAAAGACAAAAAGGTTAATAGTATTTGTTTTCTTTAAGGTTAGGTATCTTTTGAATCATTTTTCATAAGATTAAATCCCTCTTCAATTGAATCTTAAGCAAGTCATTCACGTACAACTTGATTCATTCGTCTAAAAATTTATTTCTCCATTCTCCCCTTGAATTCAATCTCTCTACAATAACAAATCTAGAAATGGTCTCTGGGGATTAGTCATAGTTGCATACAAGGAGGAGTGGGGCTATGGTGCAGGCCCAAGCTAGCTTGGGCAATATAGAGTTCCAATTCCTCAGCGTTGTAATTAAGATAGAGGATCACTTAACATATACTATATCGAAATGGACGAACATAAATGATAAAACATATACTATCTCAGGATCAACGATCCATTTATTCTCAGATCATTTTGTTGAAAAAACAAAAATATCCTCAAAACGATGTGGTATTCTTATTTTCTCCAGGTATGCTTTTTTGCTTGAAAAATTGATCCGTATTTAATATGTGATACATTGTGTCTTTATGCCTTCATGTATAAATGTTATACGATACATTAAGTTTTCTGGAAAAAAATGATTAATTAATTACAGAGGCATAGAATAACAAATTCAGTTGATGGAATCCTCGGTTTCTTTAAAAACTGGTGGGGGGGGGGGGGGGGGGGAGTGATGATTCCGAGATTTCACCAGCACATGTGTGGTAAAGAGGGAGTGAGGGAAAGAAAGAAAGACAGAGATAGACAGGCAGACAGAGAGAAAGACAGTTAAGCATATGCATTATCATAAAAAATACAAGAAAGGAAATTCGAAGCTGTAGTTTTACTTACATTGGATGCAAACCTTCAATGACAAGAATCTTAGGAGGCTTAATAAGCTCAGGAGGATCCAAGAGACCTGTAACATGGTTGTAAATTGGTTTCTCAACAGCAGTCCCATCTTTGATAGCCTTTACTTGCTCGTACATGAGATCAAAGTTGTTGGCTCTTGGGTCAAGTGCAGTGACACCCTTTTCTTTCCTTCCAGTCCTGTCAAGTGAGTGATAATCGTCTAAACATATTACAGTTGTAGTGTCGCTTATGAGCGTGTTTGAGTCAGGATTGCCACCTCTTGGTGGCTCTGCTGCACCTCCAAAAACACTTGTTAACCTCCTCATGAAGGTACTCTTACCACACCCAGAGTCTGCTGCTAGGCCAATCACAACAGTTTGTGTGTCAGTTGAGCAGGTTATCACAGCACTGCTGGCCCTCTTGGTTGTTTTCTTGTTAGTGCTATAGAACACCACATGTCTTTGGTTAAACCCCAAGTGGGTTTTTGTTGGGGTGGAGATAGAGCAAGTTGAATTGAGGGACGGCGTAGTGTATACTGTGCAAACTGCCATTTCCTTGGCTTGAGAGCGGAAGAGATGGTGGTGAACTGATTACTGGCAATTCTGATTTTTTCAGCTAGTTTTGAAAGGGTGGCATGTAATGTATTTGTGGACGCTTTTCCTTTGATTATATCAAAGGAAAAGTTTGGAAAACAAATGAGTGGAGGTAAAGGTTGAAGAAAAGAGAAACAGATAGCAGTTTGTATGGGAATGAAAAAACTGTTTTGGCTGGTGATGGGATGCTGACGTGTCTTGTTTCTGTTTTTCTGTGACTACCCCTAGTTTTTGACAAAGCTGGAGGTAATACTAAGGCAGGAATATAGGGGGGACATGGACGGGAATAATTTAATGCCCATGACTAAGATTGTCATTTGGAATTGTTTACAGTCCCGAAAACTATACCAGATATTTGTAGTCTATTGAACATCTTGATGAGGTGATGGCATTTGCGATAAACAATGGCATGGAGAAGCTTGGTCGTCATTTCTTGCAGTTTGGATATTTGCCACGCCACGTGGCATCAGGGTGGTGGACGGTTCAAGATGAGGGTTTTGGGGTGTGGACTGGAGGAGATATGGAGCCAATACATAGCACGGAATTTAGTCTCGGAATGTACTTCTATGCCTGGAAGAGCGAGGCCGAGGGTAATAACACTAAAAGAAGATTCATCCTGTTTAGTTTTATGTTTTTTTAAAAAAAAAAAATTTTAATTTTGGACTAATATTTTTTAATTATTTTAATGAATTAATATCAAAAATATTTTTTTAACATTTTCATAGTAAATAATAACCGAAACCACACTTCAAATATAATTCCATCGTTATTGCTAGACATGCTTCGGACCACATTCTTCGAAACACAAACTTGAAAAAGACAAGAAACTAAGAAAAACTCGAAACGTCAGCCCCCGAGGAAAATAGAAACTTTAGCGGCGGCCGAGGTGCTTATCAAGCTTCAGAGACTATTTTTTTAAAATTAATTCATGAAAGATTACCATGAAAATGCTTTTGTAGGTAACTATTTCCGTGTTGCTTCTTCCATGAGAAACTGGAATCACATGAAGATTCTTGAACAGCCTTGGAGCGGCTGCTTCCTCATTTTTTAAACTAAAAATAAAACACAACGCAACGATCCCAATTAACGATCTTGAAAAATAAAAAACATTATTTTAAAACACAACGCAACGCACTTTTTCATAAACAATTAACGATCCCAATCAATCAGAAGCAAAAACGAAGTTCTCATCCCTGTCGGCGGATCCGTGTTGCGACAACTAACACTCTCGCTGGAGGCTGGTTCAAGACAGACCCAACTAAAATAAACGTCTAGAAACACACTGCAGGCGTGT